TAGATTGGTTTGAAGGTGTGAAGGGTGTGATCCTTTGATTTATCTGGCCTTTTGAGAGCCATTTCCATCAGTTCTCAATTTTGATTACGAGGCAGCTTTCTTCAACCACCTCTCCTTCGTTCTTTAGCTTCCCAATCTCCCCCCTACTGGTTTGTGATTCAGCTCTTAATGATCCTTATCAGAGCAGTTTGAGAGTCAAGAGACTGGAGAAAGCCTGAAGAAATGTCAGGGCTTTCATGGATGGAAAGACATTCAGACAAATATGGAAAATAAAATCCAGAGAGGGCACCAACATCAGAGAGCATGTTGCCTCTTTTTAAGATGTGTTTTAACACATACAGTGGCAGCCTTATGTGTCAGTCCATGTCAGTATTTTTGGAGAGCCGCCTGGATGAATAAAATAATCCAACTTCTGTATTCGCTTTTAGGCTTCTTCTATGAAATATATCTGACTTCCTTTTTGAAAAAAACAATTTGACATATTTATACTGCAGGGAATTGTGGGATAATGGGCATGTATGCTCTAGTGATGCTGGTGAACCGCATAATTCACTTTGGACCCGATTTATTATGTTACATTTCTAAGCACTGAAGAAGAGTTGCTGGAAGCTTTTTTTTCTACCCTGAAAGCTTCAGAACGAGGTGGCCATAGCTGCAGCAGGGAGTGGGGATGTGATCAATACAGAAATAAAATCACATTTGACTGCTGATAAATTCTGTCCCTAATGAAGCTGAGAATTTCACAAGTGCGCTATACGAGATAAATAATGCAGCAAGGCCTATGTTCTTGTTTCTAATTAATTCCTCTTTCTTAGTCTACCCATGTCTTCATTGTCCCATTATTTTCTGCAGCTTTGAAGAGTTCTATCAACACTATACGCACATGCTCATATATTATTAGAAAGTATGTGTTTGTATTCATTCCTCATCTGTTATTATCATCTGTCGTCGTCGTCTTTTTTTTCCTGCTGTCAAATTCCTCGTCTTTTCAAGCTTGATCTATACTTCTGCGTAGAATCTATGCCATAGCAAACTACGCCAATGTGAGCACTGCCTACGTGTGCAGTGGTTTGCTGCATTCTGCAATACTCCACCTAACATATGCTGGTTGGCAGTTGCCATTTCTATGCTAGTTACTGTGTATCGCCTGTTTCCAGTTCCGCCACATTCTCTGCTTGTTTATGTTTGGGATGGGTACGAGTACTCGCGGTTGACCCCATTATTCGCGTAGCATTTCGTTACTCGCGCACCTGTGCCCCAAAAATAGTCTTTAAAAAAATGACTCTTACCAAAATAAATATAAGCTAAAGTGGGATCAGTATATACTTTTTTTTTTATTGACATACATTTTTGAAGTAAAACATTTATTAATTTTATTTACATCGGCTCTTTGTAAATGTCTCATTGAGTGGCTTTGTTCATCATACTTCATATCAGATGTTCACATGACTAATCCTTTGTACTTACATACATTTGAGTAAAGCAGCTGTGTTGTGCTTTTGATGATGACACGAACCTTGGATAAAACCTCATATTACCAGATTTATCCATCACAATAGAAAAGTCAAATTCAGTTTACGAGTGAATTTCTGGAGAAAAAAAAAAAACCCAAAAACTCGCCAACTTTCTTGGCTTTTGTTTACCTTGACCTTGTGCTGGTTCTTCTCAGGCCCAGGTGGAAAGTCGTCTCAGTAAACCAACAATGATGTGTAATGAAGAGAAGATCCCGAAGGATATTAGAACTCAAGGATACTGTTTTATTTACATGGCTGCATGTTTCTCTTCCCACATCCTGGATGGTGCTACCAACACAGCAGGTTGTGTGGCCATCAGCGCATTCATGATTTGTCTTGGGAAATGAAACACAGATTCAGGCTCATGTCCTTGTGCTTATGCTTGTGTGTGTGTGTGAGTGTATAATACTGTCCCTATAGTGAGTATCAACGACTCAGACAAAAGTGAGAACAGCTATTTATTTTGTCATCCTTTTGTCAAGACAGAGAGCCTGTTAACAAGGACTCTGCTCAGTGGGAGCCCTTAAGTGTTCTTAAATACAGTGTGTTATTCTATGAGAGGTCTGACCTATTTTTTTTTAAAAGATAATCATCCATGTTGTCTAGGAAAGGAAAGATGATGAATATCCTACAACTTGAAACATGTTGTAATTTCTTATCTTTCCAAAGGGCTAATATACTGTTCCAGTTTGGAGTTTAAAATCCTAAAGACTTAGGGCACCAGACAGCTAAGTGGTTATGTTGCACGCCCCGTGTACTGATATTTTAGTCCTCATCACTGCGGCCATGGGTTCGAATCCGACTTTGGCTCTTTGCCAAAATGTCATCCCTCAATCTCTACTCCTATCATTTCCTGTCTCTCTTTAATTATCCTTTCTGATAAAGGCAAAAAGGCCCAACCCTCTCCCCCCCCCAAAAAAACCCCAAACATATTTACCTTTATGTCTGTGATGAGCATGCATTTTTTGGTATGTAACTTATGTGTTGTTTAATTCAGTTAAACATATTTTGATTTGTTAATTTGATCATTATCTATGTGGTTTTGATGCAGAACTTATTTTTCTTAAGCAATTGGAAATGTGCTGTCACAACCCTAAGCAGAAAATACTACTTGGAGTTTGATGGTTTAGTGTAAAAATAAAGCCACGTTTCATGATGCAACTGACTTGTGTCCAGTGTCGAAGCAGTTGTAGAAGCTTGTAGAGAACAAATGTGCTCATATGGTGTGTGTCTGTTGTCTTCATTCCTGACATCTTAAAACTGTGATACTAGAGCAATCTCGTCATGTTGAGGAACTCAAAGAGGTGTAAAATTCATGTACTCGCTATCCTCTAAGCAGTCTAGGAGAGAACTCATTGAATCTTCAAACCCCCTTAGGTGCAAGCGGTGGATTGGCCAAGTATTATATAACAGATCAGTGCAGCAATCTCTGCAATCATAATCTGGGTGAATAGATGTTTTAACATGTTTAGAGTACATGTATTTATATAAAAGATGGATTATTTACTGAAAAGATTCTTTTAAGATGCATCGTGGCAAGTGTTAATTTCAGTCTACATATGTTGATTTTGTTATGAGGTCTCATCGTTTAAAAAATGACAGGTTTCAGGTTTCAACCAAAGGCCATCATTTGTTTTCCATTATATCCATGTGGTCAGAAGTTCATCATTTTTTAATCAATCTGTTGAGAGATATAGAGTGTTGTAAACAGAGTGGGACTTCCCTCTCTCTGTGCAAGCATCAATGCAGCCTGTAATATCTTACATCCAAGGTTGTTACGAGTAAAGTCTGATGATGAAATATTAACATAAAAAAAACAATGTTAACAAAATATTTAATTAAAAGATAAAGTATTGGATATATTTATGTTTACTTATGCCTGGAAAAATGCTGCTACATCCACACTCATGCAACAACCAACAATACACTCATGCATTCATGTACACACATATATTAGCACACACAGACACGCACAGGCATGCACACACTCCACTAATGAGGCTAGAAATCTCGCCGTCTCTTTGCTGTCATCCACGTCTGTATTGCTGCCACCAGCTGCCACAAAAAAAAGTCAAAGGTTTGAAGTTTTTCTTTTATCCTTCTCAGTGCAGGACAGTTTCAGGCAGTGAAGCAATCAAACACAAAGTTACTTCTCTCCATCATTCTGTCCCTCTGTTCTTGGCTTCAGCCCTCTCCACTTCTTTACTTTTCCTTCTTCTATTTCAAGCGCCTTTAATTAAACATTTGCCGATAATTAAGTATAAGATTAAGTTTTCTTCTTTTCTTACTGTATAAACTGTAGTTTAGTGCATTTCTAGAAAAGCTGCAGAGCTATCATCTGCCTTTGCACACTGTGAAACTTTAAAACACCTGTAGCATGTAAGTTTATTGGTGTACTAAGGTAAGGTAAAGTAAGGTAAGGTAACTTTATTGATACCTGTAGGTTGATTTGGTTTGCAGTGAGTTACTCAGCCTACTTTTACACACAAATGACAGTACAAAACACGATAAAGTGACAGCAATGCTCAATACTAAAGAGAAAGGCCCTCAGTAAAAACAAGTTAAAATAACCTATAGTAAGAATAGGATGAATAAAAACAAGATAAAAATAAGACTATACCATCAATCAAGTATATAAAACAGCCATGATGCACCAACTTGCACGCAGACATTCATTTATGCCTGTGTAAAGGTTCAAATCACCCACCTTGGTCGTTCCCCTGCCATGCAGACGGTTTTAAATGAATAATTTCCACCTTTTTAAAATTTGTATTATTATTTTTCCTTAATGAACCACACCACCACTGGGTGGGAATCACAAGATAACTCATGATACAATGCAGTATCAGTTTCACCCTCATCATGATTCAACAACTTATTTCCCCCCACTGTCTGAAATATTCCTGCCGTCAAAACTTTCGGCTGGAAAGTTTGTGAATTATCCAAAGTAGAAAGAAAAATGATAATAGAGAACAAAGTTTCTTCAAATATAGTTTTTAATGCAAACTAATTTGTTTTTACCTCTGTTGTACTGGAAAAAACTACAGAAACAAAGATCTCTAAATCTCTTAATCTCTAAAAGAGGTTAAACTTTGTTTTGGGCTGCCAGCATGATATGGAGATTTCATTTAGAACACACTACAGTTTGAGCCCAGTGAATATTTTAACACAGAGACACACATTAGCTCTGTCTCTCTCTCTCTTTGGGATGTCTCTCCTTCTTCCTTCTCTCTGTTTCGTCTCCGCAGCAGGTCAGTGTGTTACAGAAAAGCCGCCTTGTGTGTTCCCACAGTAGCATCTCTGTTGTAGTTTGGACTCTGACCCACATCGACTGCTGGCTCCACTGCTAATTGACCGACACTGTGACACTTTGCCTCACTCCTTCCTGAAAGAGGACACATCTAGCCAGACACCTGTTCCCTTTGTGTCTTAATAAAGTGCTTTACTGACCCCGGTGTTTGTCTTTGTGGGATTTTTGTTCTGTAGTGGAGCGATGCATGAGTGTGATGCAGTCGGGGACACAGATGGTGAAGCTGAAGGCGGGATCCAAAGGGTTGGTGAGACTCTTCTACCTGGATGAGCATCGCTCCTGCATCCGCTGGAAGCCTTCACGCAAGAGTGAGAAGGCGAAGAGTGAGTATGCATGGACACACACACACATACACTTACAGCTGCATGCAAGCACTCTTCTTTATCACTGCCACTCCTGCAGCCTCTGGTATGCTACTCCTTTGCTTTTAAACAAAATAACCCTAAGAGGGGTTTTTATAATCATTTTAAATCATTATAAACTGCAGCATCTATGATGAGTGGGCCCTCCACTGATTTCAGATATAATTAAGATGGTTGAACATGCAGTCCACATTGACTTGTTAATTAACATTTTACCAAAAATAGAAACAGTTTTATCATTAACCTATACTTTTGCTGTCTATAAAAGAAAAGGCTCCATTGCCTGGTCTTTGAAAAAGCCCGCAGCTTTGTACACCTGAATTTCTGACTACCAGCATATAAAGAAATAAAGATGGTATAAATATACAATGATGTGTGCAAGTGCAGAGCAATCACAACCACTAGAAACAGTGGCAAAAAAGAAACAAAATTAAGAAAAAGCTGGAATTATAATATACAAATGTTCCTTTTTATTTTTGTATTGGGTCTCATGTTAAAAAGCACTTTGTAGATAGCCTTTTGGTCTACTTGCTTATTTTAACTGGAAAGACTCTTGAATTTCTAAAATTGTAGGCAGCCTCATTGCTCTGTCTCTGAGGGGATTATAAGCAAAATATTTCAGGGCCCACTCAAACATCAGTGTCACTTTTTTTTTTTTTTTTTTTTTCTGTTCTGGCTTAATATATCAACCTACTGCGGCATACATCTGTGCCTCAGTAGGTTGGTGGTCCTGCTCCTGCATATGTAAATATGGCAGCTTGTGTGTTTGTGTTTGTATGTGTGTATGTGTGTGTGCATTAGATAAGCCTTTTTGATCCGCTCCATTGAAATGATTAAGAGAAACACAGCAGCTGCCCAGTTCTTTCTTACAATGTGTGTGTGTGCGTGTGCATGTGATCGGTGCTTGTGTGGTGTGTGTTATCTGTCTGAACAGCAGGATCCAAATAAGACCCCCGTAATGTTTTCTCTCTGTTGAAGCAGAATTCCAGAGATGAGATTATGTAAAGGGATGTGAGAACTGAGTGTTATTTTGAAAAATATGTTTGGAATGGATTATGGTTAAGTAATCTTTGTTATGAAGGTAATTCATTGAATAAAACAATAATTTAATGAATTGTTTAAACACTTCATATAATAAAGGGTGTTCTAGGGAAAACATCCATTTATAATGGGCACTAGTCTTATTATTATATCATTTGAGTATATTTGTAAAAATATAGGAGAACCATTCAGTTTACTATGCACTGTTTCTCCCTACTAACAAAGAAAACTAACTTGGTGTTGGTTATTTTTCAAAAGCTGTGTGCTTGTTTGGTATTTTGGCTTGTATTATTGGTTTTGATTGCTTGTTATTCCAGTTTTAATGTTAAGTGCCTTGTCGAGAAGTCGGCTCGAGCACAATAGTGAATAGAAAAATCAATATGCACATTGGTGATGTATTAAAGGGGAGAACAGATTTGTTTTAATGTATGTCAGCAAATTGTGGGAAAATACCAATACCAACTTTTTAAAAGTGAGATTCTCAATACTTTCCATCTTCTTTACCCTCACTATAGCACTCAGCCCCAAACCATTGGTCCTGGCTGAAGACTTGATCACCTTAAAGTACACTCTCTTCACTTCTGGCAAAAAATAGATAAACCTTAAAAAAAAAACAAAAAAAATAAAAACAAGCTAAACTTGAGACTTTAAAAAAAAATGTGTGACCACGCTGGGTGACGTCACAATAGCTGAGTCCACTTCTTACATTTAAGCCTGTGTTTCTATGAGTATTCATTATATGAAAAACTGTATATAAAAGTGTAACAGTGTAGCATCTTTGGTAAAATTAGTCATTTCACCCCAAAAAACCTAAACTGTTCTTTTCCTCTCCCTTACCTCCCTTCGTCAGTCACCATTGATTCGCTGTACAAAGTGACAGAGGGCGGCCAATCAGACATCTTCCACCGGCATGCCGACGGCAGCTTTGACCCGGCCTGCTGTTTCACCATTTACCATGGAAACCACATGGAGTCCCTCGACCTGGTGACAACAAATGCTGAAGAAGCCAGAACCTGGATCACTGGCCTGCGCTATCTGATGGCCGGGATCAGTGATGAGGACTCGCTGGCCAAACGGCAGCGAACACACGACCAATATCCTTTCAAGGGGAAAGACAAAGCCTCACATTAATCGTCGCTGACGGGTGAAACGCATGCCTCATCCTGATCAAACAAAATTTCATAGAAAGAAGACCATTTTGTGTTTCTGTATAATTTTCTATAACTTAGGAGTGCTTCGTTAAATATGAGTTGGATGTTTTTTTTCCTCTAAAAAACCTTACAGCCAATCAAAAGCGCTTTCCAAACAATATGCAGTAGTACTGAAGGTCTACACCATCCACCATCAGACCAGTGCTTTTAGAGATTCTAAAGGGTTTATGTCAACTCATAGGCTAAAATCAAAGCACTTATCTTAATTTAATACTTTATGGAGGTGGAATACTGGAGAGAAAGCAGTGGAATAAACAATCTCATTCTCCTTAACGTGTGTGCGACGTGGCTGAAGCAGACATTTGAGGAGGCTGACAAGAATGGAGATGGTCTCCTGAACATTGAAGAGATCTACCAACTTCTCCACAAACTGAATGTCAATCTGCCGCGCAGGAAGGTCAAGCAGATGTTTCAGGTGAGAACACATTCATGTTATACATTTCCATGTACAATAGATTGCTCTCAATTTGATATTTGTAGCATATATGTTTTAAAAATAACCAGATATCTGTTCCAAAACATTACCACACAAGTATCAAACCTTTTTTTACTAAATTGAAAAAGGGTTTGATTTCCCTTTAACCAAACACTTCATTTGCATAAATATTAAACATCAATGATGTCATATTAATGTTGCATTTTTTATTTCTATGTGCATTGATTAGTGTGCGAGGAATATTTCATGCTATTACGTGAGAGAGACACTTTTAGGAAAAGATGAAGTCGTGTAAGGAGAGGACTGCGTCAATATTTAAAACAGAAGTCTTTTTGAGTAATGCCAAAACTTTTTAAACGTGTTATAATGTACAGTAACAAAATACTTTTTAAAACGCTGATATCATTATCCCACATATTTGCTTTCTTCTATTATGTTTTTACTCCAAACATCCAAAATAATTAGTTAAATTTCGGTAAGGAAGTCTGATAGCCAATCCTAAATGGACAAGGTCATGTAAGAAAAACAGAGCAAACCACAGCTGCAAAACCTCTGCAACAAGGCTGCAAAAACAATCTTGGAAAGGGTAAATACTCACCTCAGAGTATGTGGACAGTGCAGAAAGGGCTTATGGGTAGCAGGTGTGGAAAGAAATTTGTCTGGTTGGGTAATATGGGTTGGTGGGCAGGGGAGGAAATGGCTCAGAAAGTGTAGACAAAGGCAGTATCGAGTATATATATATATCGAGTAATGAGAGTTCCAAAAGTATTTAAAACTTTAGTGTGATTGTGGTTTATGCTGGGTAAAGTCAAGTTAAAAAATGTATAATTGAAGCTGAAGTTTGAACTAGAATGCATTTTCCTAAATTGATTTGTATTTGAAGGGTTGGGAGAAAGAGGTGTCTAGCATCACATTTTGCGTTGTTAAATCCTTACAATAATACTAAAAACAATTGTTCCAATATTCCAAAGTGGACCAGTTTTCCTCGTGATTGAAAGGTTTTATGAAAACAAATGTAACCTATGAAATACAAATTCACTCCTGAAAGAAGGAGAGGAAGAGATATTATACAATTCTTTGTTTGGTTTTCATGAACAAAATGTATTTGTTCAATGTAACACAGGAGACGTTCGACAATCACAAGTCATAGAGAAAACGTAATATAATATAGCTTTGATGAAATACTACTTTTGCCTTTTAGAACATGCTCCTTGGGTTGCCGATTTACCTCAGTTGGTAGAGCAGGCGATGCATACACAGAGGCATCAGGTTTGTCCCACTCTCTCCTCCAATCATGTTTTCCCTCGTTAGCTGTAGTAAAGACACAGAAATCTATTCCTTAAACTCCTTCTAAGTATGTTCCTTCTATTTCAGAAACTATCCAAACAAAGTAGTTGATTTCAAAGTGTGTCTTTCCCAAATGGGATGAACTGAACTTTTGCAACATAATCTACTCTTTAGGTTCAGATAAGAAGGAAACGTCAGTAATTCATCTTTTTCCATTGAAGCATTGGCAGACAGCAGTGTGGGAGCCTGAACAGCTTGTCCTGAATATCTTTGTTTTATGTCCATGCGTTTCTGATCAAGTCCATCACAGTGATTTACTCGGCTGGTTGTGTGTACATTCTGTCTTTGAGCACGTTCCTGTTGAACACAGCGGGCTCATTACGGGACTGTGATGGAAGCATTAGCTGGTATTATTAGATTCAGTGTGGAGTGGAATGGGCCCCCGTGAGATTCAGGTAATATGAGATGAGGGATCCCAGCGAACAGACAGAGGGGGGGGAGAAAACACATTGAGCCTCGCTGCGTGTATCCTCAGGCAACTTGAAGTCAGATAAGAGGTTAGGACAGGAAAAAATCAGGTAGTGTTTTTCTGTGTTAGGACAGTGTGTGTGCTTGCTGGTGTGATTTTTTTTTTTGTATCAGTGTGAAAGTAACACGACAGGAGATGGAGATAAAAAGAAAAGACAGTTTGCAGAAACACGTGCACAGCTGTTTCTCCTGTGAACACATTCATGACTCATTATACATCTTCTGATTGTAGGCTGTTTGCAGTGACTGATAGATAGGAAGGGCTGATACTGTCACATCACACACACATTGTCACATCACAGTAATCATTAGTTTGGGGCAGTACATTGTAACCAGATTATCAGAGCGAATTGCCATCAAGCATCAGTTCATTCTTCCGGCTTAAAATTGTTTTCCTGAGATTTTGGTGGCAATACAAAAGTCTGAACTGGACACTTTGTTTGATATGTTTTCTTTTTTTATATCATCTTTTGAGTGAGGAGGTGTAAATGATCTCCAGGTAAGGGAGAATTCAGCAAAGTGTCAACTAGTCACCTTAAACTCCAGCTTAAACAGTAGCAGCACCCATGCCATCAGCCAATCCTTTGCTTACACATTGTGCTCCTGAACAAAGCATGTTGCATGTCGGGTTATTTTTCTTTATTCATGTGCGTTATTTAAAGTTCTTTGTTGGAATTGCTGGTTATAATTTACCGTATATTTATATCTGGTAGTCTTTTCAAAATACATTATTTCTATTTATTTGTATTTTTATAAAGTTACTGTTGTCATTGATAGTGTTATTTTTTACTGTGTCAGATCATTCATCAAGCACACTTATACACAAATATTTGTTCATCGAAAATATTCGTCGAGGAATCTTTATAATTATTAAAAGTCCACTTATAGTCAGTATTCATATCATGTATTCTACATATGAAAAATAGTTTCAAGACCAATTTTAGGGGCGCCGGTAGCCTGGCAGTTAGTGCGCACACACATCAACATAGGCTCTCCCCAATTTCTGACTCTATCCTCTTTCAATCTCTAAATAATAAAGGCATACAAACCCCAAAAAGTACACCTTAGAGAAGTCCTTATAAGTAATTTAAGCTACTTCAGCACTTTCTGTTTTCTGTGTCAGATAACATACCAGTACATGACACTGCAAACCGAGTTTGTCTAGAATTCACTAATGCTGTCTTACCCTCCAAATATACTAGTGTAAGATGTATCCATGGTTGACATGTGACTCCCTTGCCCTCACAGGAGGCAGATACAGACGACCAGCAGGGCACGCTGACATATGAGGAGTTCTCCGTCTTCTACAGGATGATGTCGATGAGACGAGACCTGTTCCTGTTGATGATGGCGTACAGCGACAGGAAGGACCATCTCACAGCCGAGGAGCTGGCCAACTTGCTGCGCAACGAGCAGAAGGTCAGATGTCACACTGGTCTCAGGGTAGATTTCATAAAAATGTTTTTTCTCTTAACATCCGTAACTGGAACTTTTTATGAGGAGCTGTCAAAAATACTTAGTTTGAAATCGACCGTTTCAATTTGAGATGCAGCCTCTGTACAGAGATTGATTTTATTCTCTTTAGTCTAACATCATGCAACTCTGTCTGCCTCCTCCGTTTCTCCAGAGGAATCTGCTCCACTAAGACAATCTATCACTCCTGAAATTGGTTTTCCTTCTGGGAGCCCCTTTCTTGTTCTTTACAGTTTTTTCTTTGCTACTATTTTTCTTGCAGCATCTTTCTTTGTGTTTCTGACACTCTTTTCTCTCCCACACAACAATGCTGTCATTTCTTTTTTTTTTTTTACCATGCTGTGTTTACTGTCTCAAGCCTGCCATGCTAATCATTTATACTGTTCTGGGACATGCCTGTTCGACATGGTTGACTATTAATTAAATAGCAACACAAATGTGTTACAGTAATGGGAAATTATTGTGACTTAATTAGCATTCATGATGGGAATAATGCACTCTGCTAATGTACTCTGCTCATCTTTTTCTTTACAGATGTCCAATGCGACTCCAGAATATGTCGTAGAGATCATCGACAAGTTTGAGATGTCTGATGAATATAAACAGAGAGGCGTCATGGGGATAGAAGGTAATTTTCTCCTATTTCTTTTCTCTTTTCAGCTTAACTAATTAATTTTTAAATAGGTAAATTTTTGACTTTGCCTCTAAAATCTAGATGAATAGAATTTATGTCATAATGATTTTTTTGGGAGGCTTATGGTTGTGGGACATAAGCTTGTGCACATAACACATGCTTTATTTTCATCCTGTTTAGCACTGAATGATAATTGCTGTGTGGAATTGGATGATCTGTTAGGCTGTTTATCAAAAGTAGGGTTGTTTTTGTAAAGAACTTTAACCGTTTTAGCCTGGGTTTTTGGAACACTTGCAAAACACAAAAAAAAAGATACAAACAAACGTCAATTTTGACAATCTGTTCATTATCTTTTTGGGTTTTGTCGGGCTGTGCAAGTATAAAAGAAAAGGAGGAGTCTTCCACCAATTTCCCAAATCTCACAATTTAGGGAAGATCCAGGAATATCTGTTATTTAAAGGGCAAGTTATAACGATTCTATCTGCATTCTTTTCAGATTTAATACAGAATTTTCGGATTTAATTGGCATTTATATCAACTCTGTTTTACTGTGAAAGCCCGTCCTGAATGTCTGACTGAAAAGACAGAATAATGACGTTGAACATTTCAGACCGATTGCATTGAGAAGTGTTTATGATGGAGTGTTTTATTAGATTATACCAAATGTTACGAAGAGTAACTGTGAGATTAACCAATCGAAAGCATTTAGGATGGAGGGGAATAGCCATAGGGAAAAACACTGGAAAGTCAGAATGAGGGTTGGAAAAAGAGCAAAATGAGTATGGGGAGAGGAGAGGAGAGGGAGAGGAGGAGGGGTGAGACTAATCTTGTTGTTGGAGGCATGAAGGTCTGACTGATCACACCAGTATGTCTGATGTCTAACCCTGCACGCATTAAATGTGGGCGTTGAAACATACATTCAACCGGATGAGAATGTAAAAATAGTCACATAAAGAAATGGTTTTATAGTGTGATGCACAGTTTCCTTCAGTATTTGGTATTTTATGCATGTGTGACTTTATAAGGTATCCAGTCTAATTCTTACAAAGATTCATTTCACACAGCATACTGTAGAAATCTGGATTCAGGTGGTATAGCACCAAGATGAGATTGCATGTCCAATATCATTACCTACTTCCCATGACAAGAAATCTTTCCAATATTTACATCACATTTTTCCATTTTGCCTTCACAGTCTCCCTTTCAAAATTCACTGCCTGCTTCCTATTCCTCTTTGGCTTATCTCCCGCTCTCCGTATTCCTGTCTCATTTTCGCCCCCTCCTCTGGATGAAAGGATGCTTTTCGTCCCCCTCAGTCCCCCTTCATGCTGTCGCACCGAAATAAAGTTGGCTGTGTGAAGTGTATCCACCAGTAGGGTGGTTTCAAACCTCTTGACTCTGGCTTGAGTATTCCTGTCTGTCCTCCTTTGCCTTTTTCTTCCTGGAGATCAACCCACTCAAAAAGAGAGATTTTGTGGATGTCACTGTTAGAAGCTGTTATAAGGGGCACAATATGATCTAGTTGCTGCAAATGGAAACCTTTTGTTTTTTTGTTCCAAAGCAACATTGGTTGCTTTAAATCTGGAGCAGGCATGAAATACTTATTGTACTAGTTTGTGTTTCACAATTTATTTTGCATTGAATTGTCCAATTTAATATCATTCTATGTGCTAATGAACTTGCACTGTTTGTACTAAAGCACAACTGCGGGTTAAGCCACCTGCTAACATGCTCACTATAGAAATGCTAACATGCTGATATCAAGCAAGGTAGATTACTGATTTCACCATCTTACTTTAGTTGTTAGCTTGCTTTTAAAAGCTATTTTGCATTGAGCCCAATGTTCAGCTGAGGCTAATGGGCTAATGTTATTAGTTTTGAAAGAAGCCTACTTGCCATAAAAAAGAAGGCCTTTTAAAAAAAAAAAAAAAAATCTTCAATGTCAGAATCTGCAATAGTATGAGAATCATCAAAGTCAGCAGGATTTACTTAAAGAGCTATACATGTACAGGATGTTGTGAATTTACAAGGATGAGACACATTTGACTCGCTGTAGGTGCTCAAAAACAAACTGGTCAGCAGATACCCAGTGTGATTAAAATCCATCCTCTCTGCACCATTAATGTATATACAGCTTAATAGAATTTCTGTATTTGTATTGCAAGACCTTCCATTAAATACTCAGATATCCTACTCATAAGCAGATAGGGCTTAATCAAAGTTGATGGGATTCAAGGCAGTCCAACCAAAAGGTCAACCTTCTGTGCTGTTTTCACATAAACCATTAAAGGGTTCTACCATTCAATCATGTTCACATACTCCTGTAACGCCTTCAGGGTTTTATTTTTTAAATTTTCTTTTAATGTGCAGGTTTTACAAGTTTCATGCGCAGTCCAACATGTGACATCTTCAACCCCCTGCACCATGAGGTGAATCAGGATATGGATCAGCCTCTGTCGAACTACTTCATCGCCTCCTCTCACAACACGTATCTGACGGGAGACCAGCTCCTCTCCCACTCGAAGACTGACATGTACGCCTGGGTGCTGCAGTCTGGATGCCGCTGTGTCGAAGGTAAGGGTGCATCTACTTTCATATACTTTGTATCCACAAAAAGACTGACATTGCAGAGCAGGAAACACACAGGTGTAAATAATCAAATCAATTACAAGTGAGTAGCATTCAGCTGCTTTAGTTCGAGTATCCTGCAGTTGGTGCATGCTGTGTACTGTCACACCGTCAAGGCTCACTGGGGACTGTGACAATTAAACTGAGCCCTCATTATTATAATTAGAAACACCTTTGCTTTTCATATTAAGATAAGCAATAATGTGTGCTGTGAGAAGCCTGTTTTAACTGGACAAGCTTTATTTGATAATTTCTTCACATTTCAAGGAATCTCTCTTTCGTCATACAGTATATGTATATATGGGGCGGCTGTGGCTCAGTGGTAGAGTCAATCATCTCTCAACCGGTCGGGGGTTCAATCCCCTGCTGCAGCCATGTCTGATGTGTCCTTGGTCAAGACACTTAACCCCAAGTTGCTCCCGCTGCTTTGTCTGCGGTGTATAAATGTGCATGAATGGGATTGGCTGATAATAAAGGGCTCCTTAACATAGCAGTGTGTGTGTGTGTGTGTGTGTGTGTGTGTGTGTGACCTGCAGTTTAAAAGCTAGAGAGCTAGAAAAGCGCGATACAAGCTCAAGTCCATTTATACAAGCTCAAGTCCATATATTCAATGATATCGCTTTGATATTAAACCACAACTTCATGGATGTCGACTGCTTGAATAAAATAAATCCTTTTCTTTTTGTATAATATCCCAAACTAATTCTGCTTGTTTGAGAATGAAATTAAAACAGCACCACAGCAGCAGCAACACTAACAGATACAACAATGAAGCATAATCTTTCTAACACATGGCTTTTATTAACACTTTATTGTGTCCCAGAATACTTTAATACCAGTAGGACATTTTTAAGACAATTTTGAATAATAATAAGTCAAAATCATGCATTTTGTTTATATTGTGCTTTTCAAAATACTCAGACACTTAGCAGAGTCACAGTAAAAGATGACAAAGTCAATTTAAAAGGCAAACAATGGTAAAAACAGCGACATTAGCACTTAAAAGCAGCTCTGTAAAGATGGGTTTACAACAAGCTTTATAACAAGTTTTAACAAGCTTTTAATGTATGATTGTGTTCTATTTTCTGTTTTCTGTAGTTTATCTTTATTGTTGTTATCTTTATGATTTGTGTGATTTTTTTTTTCTATTGTACAGTGTCTTTGAGTTTTTGAAAAGCGCTTATAAATAAAATCTATTATTATTATTATAAGTGGGAAATAGCTCATCATACATAAGAGTAAATTAAAACTCTGCTATATTTTTAAAGATTAGAGGCTAACAGTGAGAAATGTCTGTCAGAGCAGGAACAGCGTGCAGTGTTTTATTCATGCCATATCTCCTCTGTGTTTCCCTGCAGTGGACTGCTGGGACGGTCCTGAAGGGGAGCCGATGGTCCAACACGGCTACACTCTGACCTCCAAGATCCCTTTCAAGTTTGTCATCGAGACCATCAATAAATATGCCTTCATAAATAACCAGTGAGTCGATGCTCTCCATAGCGCACGCGTGTGTGTGTGTGTGTGTGGGGGGGTGGGGGATTTCATGCGATTGTTTGTGACATTTTATGGAAACAAGACACTTCCATTATCCCAAAGGAATTGTGTGGTGAGAAAATGGCCCAGAATGCCAAACAGAAATGACATTTTATTTATTTCTCTTTCGGTTTACTCACACATAAAAATGTGACTGAAACAGGATTGTAATACCGATTGTTTATTGTCCTCTTATGTGTAGATGTCTTTTTGGACCACTTTGATGAAGTGTTAGCTCCCTTTTAAACATCTTTTCTCATAAAATTAAGCCTGAAACTCAAGCTGCTATCATGAAATGCCTATAAATGAATTTGATGGAAGGTTTCCTCCACAAGGTTTGACAAGGAAGTTGCAACATTTAGACAGCCAGGTTTGTGTTTATCACGGAGCATAGAGATTGCTGGCAGTAATTAGCACCTATTACTGGGCCATCTGTTTAGCAGCGTTTCCTCTGGCTCCCTGAGGAGCAACTGTTTGTCTCTGCTGGGTCCAGCAATACCAAAACAAAGTGTGGAAAGATGCAGCTTCCTGCTGGTACGGTTACTTGCTTTGACATCGATTGCAGCTCCTCATGATTACGGTCTGTTTTATTAAATCATTTCTTTACTTAGAGGTAGAAGACTGTATTGGAGGAGAAGATTCATGTATGTAAGTAATTAGAAGCGTGACTACATAAGGCATTGGCTTGTTAGCAATTTCACTAAATGATTAAGGTGGTCCATCTCTTATGTAACTTATTTTCCATTCACCAACTGCTAGTTAATTCTTTCAATACAGAGCACGTAATCTCTGACTTCTGTTGTATCTGAATAACATTTCTTTCATGCAAAGAGTTATGTGATCAGAATGACACAATTTATTTCTGCCCATAACAAGGTACGGCTAGAATCTGCAGTGCTAATCTTATTTTAGCATGAGCCCCGTAGTCCCAAATATATATATATACTTTTTGATATCCTTTATTAATCCCTGAGGGAAATTCGGGTTTACACTGTTATATATAGGGACATGCTTCTCACACACATAGGCCCGAATCACATGCATGCACAAACAGGACCTGTGGACATGCAATGGTGGAGAGATGTCAGAGTGGGGCTGCCACAAGCTGCTACGTAAGCAGAGAGCACACCAGAGCAGTTGGGGTTCGGTGCCTTGCTCAAGGGCACCTCGACAGGTATCAGGGGAGGGTAGAGTATTTTTTTTTTACCAGAATCCAGCTTGTGACATCACAAACTGAGCAAATTTAAAAAGGAGCACTTTTCTCGGTGTTGTAAGACTTGTGCAGACCACAAACAAAGGACTGGATGGATTTATTTCACATTTTGTGGGTCAGTTGCCACTCAGGTTACCCAAATATGTGTTCAAAAACACTGTAAAAGTGGATTTTTCACAATAGTTCTCCTTTATAAAAGGTTTTGTTTTTCAATAGTTTTTCTCAATAATTAAGTCAACCAAGAGTTTAAGTCATTTGAATTTCTCTGTGAGTTAAATAAAAAAACATATTTCTTAAATTAATACACCAATGACAATGTGCACATTTACTGAAGAGTAATGGCTAGAAGCTCCTCTCTATAAACTAATGAAGGAATACTGTTATATTTCAAATGAACTCATACCACAGTTATAATTAATTAACCCCCCTAACAGCTGACAGTGAGTACAGATGAATACATTTAACATCCAGTGTTCTCTCTGTCTCTCTCTCTCTCTCTCTCTCTCTCTCTCTCTCTTCATTCACTCTGCTGTTTCACCTTTTCCATTTACTTGATATTTTATCATCAGTGCCACCTGTTAATATGATTTATGGGCCCTGGTTTGTATTGCAAGGAAATCTCTGCTTTCTCACACATAAACACACAGAGAACACACACACACAAATTGACTCATTAAAGACACACATTTCACAGCTCATTGAGCTGCCACACAGTTTCACCTGAGAGAGGCTCCTGCTCGTCACAGTCTGTGTGTCGAAATAAAACAGCTCTGGATGTTTCTCTGTCTCTTGTCTCTTTTTGTCTTTGGCAGAAGAGCCACTTGTGTGAGTGTGTGTTTGCGAGTCTTTTTTTTTGTACATGTGTGTATTTCTGGGGATCAGAGGTGGAGCTGAGAGCGTGGCTGCGTCCCTTGAGGGAGAGCTGTCAGTCAGACAAACCTGACCTTTGAGCTGTGCTGCTGTGTGGCCACAAGTTATTTCACCTTTTCTAAATGAAAACATACACAAACAATCACGTCACACACCTATCCAACAAAGTGTGTTTTTTATCCTTTACCTTTTTACCGTTCTTGTGGGTGTTTGGTTAAAAATGGAGATGATTTACTGCTCCAGGACACATTTTCTAAATATTGACAGATTTTGAAGAAAAATATCAAATGCTGAGAATGTTTTTTCCCTGTTTTCTGTCTCCAGGTACCCAGTAATCCTGTCCATAGAGAACCACTGCAGCATCCAGCAGCAGAAGAAGATTGCTCAGTACCTGAGAGAAATCTTCGGAGACAAACTGAATGTGGGAGACGTACTGAGCAGAGAATCCAAAACCTTACCCAGTCCTCACAGCCTGCAGGGCAAGATTCTCATCAAAGTAAGGAAATCTTTTAACACGGTTCATATATATATAAAAAAAAATATTGGAATATCCCCAGTGCATTAGGGCGGTTTTAAATACAAGCATCTGCATCATATGTTCGGATTCAGATTCTCTTTATTGTCCCACAAGTGGAAATTTATTTTGCAGCAGGGGCACACAGAAGACAACAAAAACAAGATCAACATCAACAGTAAAATCAGATTCAAATAAAAACTATGTATCATTCACTTTTAATATCTCAGTCTGAAACATGTTCCATCACCATTATCACGGTCCTTCTGATTCTAATTCGAATCTTTAAACAGAGAGGCTCACTGTGACACTCTTCTGTGGATGATTGATAATAAATAATTCAACTTTTCATTCACTTGAAATGGAGTGTCTCCTGACGGTGCGCATGTTCTGTCCTCAGAACTCCCTGGGCCAACATTCAGACCGATGAGTTGCTCCAAAGTTACTGGATGCGAGACTGGAGCTCTCCTCCTGCTAATGTTTTAATATTCCACTTGATGTCAGTATTTAACAGCCCTAAACTACATTATTAATAGTTGAAGCTTGATATTTTATAACTTTTCCTATTTTTAGGAGAATCCCTTGAATTGGTAACATATTTTAGAAATGATCTTAAGAAAGTTGAAGCTGGTTGGAGTCTTTGAGACGCCATCTGTTCCCATATGCTCTCTGTTTGGTTTAAGGAAAACAACTCCTTAAACCCCAAATATCCTATTATCATATTATATTCTGTTTTTTTAGTTTTTAATAAGCTCTTCTTCTGTCTGTACTGTAACTCTAACAGTGCTTATTGTGACTCAGACCAATGCTCCATTTATGGCAAATTGGCAAGTTAAACACAACCTCAAGGCAAAAGGGTGACATTTTTAATCCTATTTCGACCAAACAAAAAGGTCAACCTATAAATTGAGCTTTTCTGACCTTAATTAAGAGTTTACCAAAATGTAGCCACAGAGGTGACCAATAACACAAAGGCCCCCTTTACAGTTAATTACCTTTTAAAATGTACAACTTGTCTGGCCTCTACTCATCTCTTTACAGTTCTTACTGTAGGAAAATGTGTCCAGAGACACGTACTTTTGAAACATGACTGATATGATCATCCTAGAAAGAATGGAAACTTAACATCTTCTCTTTGATTATGAAATATCGGCCCTGACTGTGACAGCCTCAGTCCCCAAAGATCTTTACCCAACAGCCCGGGCGGGGCCATTCTCACAGACACAGAGAGAGCATCTGGACGAGCAAAAGCTTTCAGCATTTATTGGATTCTTTTTATAGGAACCAGATAAAATGGACTTTATCTGTTTTGTGAAGAAAGCCTCTTTTGTTCCCTGCAAAAAACGAGCTGTGGCTTTGTCCATCTCCAGCCACAGGTCTGAAAAGTGACCAAGCATTATTGATTTTCTGTAAAGCCCTTTAGTCCTATCTAACTATTTTCCTCCATCTCTCCCCGACCTCCTCTCCTGCCCTTATTGGAGAACCTTTCACCTCTCTCAATCCCCCCCCCCCCACCCCATGGAAAGTGAGAGCAATGAGTCATAAGACAATAAAGAAAAAGGAATTTTGTGGCAGTTACAGATACGAGGCAGAGAGAGAAAAGGCTCCTTGTGGCAGTGGCTAAAACAAGGGCGGTGATATCAGCCAGTGATGAGAGTCTTTGGAAGAAGATGCTCGGAAGAATCTTGACTCCCACTCGCACCTTCGGAATGGCTCACTAATGGGCTTCCACTCTGCAGAAAGAGCTGCTCAGGGAGCTTCTCAGAGCAGCTGATTGTACTATTTATGTGTGTGTACTTGTGCGTGCAGGAATGTGTGTTTTGTTCCCTGTTATGTGACATTAATGGCTTTCCCTCTGGCTATAAATACCAGTTGGAGAAACATAACAGATTTTGAAAGAGAGTACTCTTAACGTGTGCATTTTTGTGTGTGTGTGTGTGTGTTTGTTCGTGAATGCCAGAGTAAAAACAGATTCTTAGAGGTGCAACCTGTGTGGGCGTTCAAATAAATGAGCGAGGATTTGTGCTAAAGTAAAGACATATGCATGGGTCAAAGTTCTGATTGTCACTCCCCTCCCGTCTCTCTGTCTGTCCTCTCACTTTCCAGGGGAAGCGTCTGCCTGCATATCTTTCTGCGGACGCTGAGGAGGGAGAGGTGTCTGATGATGACAGCGCCGATGAAATTGAGGACGACTTCAAGCTGAAGAGTAGTAATGTAAGACAGAGCAGAGTGCTGTAGCTATAAACATGATGTGTAAGATCAATCATCCAATCAATCAATCTGACAAACTATTCATGAAACCTTCTGTGAAAAATGAATCAAGAGCAGATTTTCAAAACGCAGAAAGACACAACAAATAACTTGTAGAACACAATTAAAATATGGATTAATATCAACATTTAAGGCAAGGCAAGGCAAGGCAAGTAATACAGATTTTTAGAGCTAGAACAGTCTTTAAAGGATCATGCCATTAAAACCAGAAGAGAACCTGGCCGACAACGGTGATGATGATTGATTTTAGGACTCATCCAATCAATCAAAACAATTTCTTGCTAGAATGAAAATATTTCATAAACAATCAGCTGAAAAAAAAACAAGGTCGCAAGAATATTATATAAGACAAAAATGTATTCATGTTGGCGAATCAAACCTCCTCCTCCACATACAGGCACCACAAACAGAAGTTGTATAATGGGATCTTAATGACGTTGTGCTCAAAGTAATGACTGCACTAATTGGGGGGTAATGTTGCTGCTTGTAAAGTTTTACTGATCATCATTGCAGTAATGTTTAGGAGCACTCAATGCTTAATGGTGCAGATATAAATCTTTAGTCAATGCTTGTTTATGCAGATCACTGCTGAACTGTCTCCTGTTCATATTTCAAATCGATTTTAATCCTGTTTATTTATGTCGTGATAGACTAGTGCCAGGGTCCTTCTCCCCACATTTAAAGCCGGGAAAACACTGCGTTATTTTCCAGATGGTTCCGTTGTGTAACCGAATATGGCATCATTCTCCTACATTTAGCCGGAGGCACGGAGACGCAGATGCCAATTTGGATGATCATTGCTGTTTTAAAACGGGTGGTGGCAGGTTTCCACTGATGAGAGGTTTTGTTTTGAGCTCATTAAAGCAGTGTGCTTTCACAGCAGTCATCACTAACAATGCTGTTATAGTGTGATATAACCCTTACTATACAAGATGTGGAAAATGTATATATTTTCCCCTTTGTAGCAAAAGATACAGTTTAACAAGTTGTAATGCTACATCAAATTTAAAGTATACCTCAGCATTGTACTGATAAACGACTGGAAGATTTAAGGAAAAGAAAAAGTAGTGAATGGAATGAATTACCTTTGGACAATGTGATCACATTAAATGTTTATCTTACCACCTACTGCTTGATTATTTTCGTCAGCTAAAACACCCAGAGAGAAAAGCAATTTGTAGTCTTGTACATATTGAGTATACATATAACATTTTTTCCGATAGCAATGGGGACTCTTTTTTTACCCCTCATTGCTTGCAAGGGGGCTGACAAAACTGCAGCCACATTTATTTTCCCCTACCTGTAAATGGCACATATTTAAATGTTGCCTTGGTTGCTGTTCTTGCTATTGTGCCAAAATGTGACAGTGGTTGGACTACAGGTCAAGGTCTGAAAACCTGCGATTAATACAATATAAACTGATGACAAGAATATATTACACCCGAGATAAAATCCACAAGTTTTATCCTAACTCCTCTGATCAGTGTGTGAAGTGTGGATCTCCTGACACCCTTATGCACTCATTTTGGTCTTCTACTAAAGTAAACAAAGTGTGGAGTGAGATTCAAGAATGGATGTCTGTTATATGTCAAACAAAAATAACAATTTTGGCTGAAGTGTGTATTTTCCAGAATGCCAAAAAAAATACATTATCCTTTGGGCTGGCAGATTCTGTTCTCTGCCCTCATTTATAAATAGCTGATTTTAAAACACTGGAAGAACAAAGAGGCCCCTTCTCTTCATACTTGGAAAGAATTGATGAGATATTATTTGACTATAGAAAAGGCTTTATCTGAAGATGACAACAAGGTTAAACAATTCAATGTCGTATGGAAGTGTATCAAAGAAGCATTATAAAATCTATGAAACAATCTGTGACATGGCTGGCAGGAGAGGTGGGGAAGGCGGTAGAGAACACAAAACAAGGACGTGTGTGTGTGTGTGTGTGTGTGTGTGTGAGGGTGGGGGTGGGATGCGAGGGACGGGATTTGTGTGACATGTATGAATGGGACATTAATGTACATGTTTCTATATTTTTTTAATTATATATATTTTTTGTTTTATTTTATGTTTTCTCTGTTGTGTCTTGGGATATAAAGGTAAATATCTCATGTGATCCTGATTTCACTCTTGAAAAGTGTAACTAAGTTAAATGTTATGGTATTATTTTGGTTGATAAAAACTCGTAAGTATGACTGATAGAAAGCATGAAGGTAATACAAATAATTATATATATAAAAAAAAAATCTGCCTTTCAACTTTACTTTGAATTCTCTCTTCATATTATCCTTCCCTTTCTTAATGACTCCTCCTTTGGCAGGGCAACGGTAATCCCCAGGTGGAGTCTCACATCAGGAAGAAACTGGACTCACTGTTAAAGGAGTCTCGGATCGGAGATAAGGAAGACACGGACAGCTTCAGCATCCGAGCGCTTCTCCGAGCTACGCACCAGGGCCTTCAGAAGAACCTGCGACAGGTAGGGTATTTAAGGAATGTGTAGAGCGGCATACAGAGCTGAGTAATGGAGAGCAAAGACATAACAGGCGGGAAGAAAACTAGGCCATGGTATTAGTCACGGAGAGAAATGGAGGACATAAAGGAGTAGACTTTACTGCACCACCCCGCAGGTCAAACACACCCACACAGATGCACAGTCAACCAGCACCTCCTCAGGCAACTCTGAAGGGACTGCAATGTTCCCAGCAAGGTGTTGTTTCATGGAGAGCATGTCAAAACAGACGGAAAGTGATGAGAAACTAAAAGTCTGCAGTGTTACTTAATATTTAATTTCCCTGCATGCCTCTTGCGCTATTAATAGAAACTTCTGTTTCCTGACAGCCATTTTAATGGAGTGGGTGTTTTTCAGCAGGGTTCCCCGGTCTCTTTATTGTGCTCCAGCTTTGTTCTGCTTCACCTCATTCTATTTCAAAAGCTTTTTTGATTCACTCTGAGTTTTTTTTACTTTAATTCTCTTTTTTTTCAATTTCTTCATTTTTTTTTGTTTCCAACATCCTCTCTCATCTTGAGTGTGATGTGCTTTTTTGGCTCATGTCTAGTTGCAGCCTCTCCGGCTACTGAGCCTGAGGGTCTGGGTGTCTTCCTGGGTACTAATGTGGTTGTTATTTAGATCACATTATGCAAATAATGCATGTACTCGAGCACACAAAAACAGGTGTATAAAGATTCTCTAAATGTGTTGTCCTTGTCTCTAGAGCTCAAAAGGAGTTTTGAAGAAATCCCAGAGCAGATCCTTCATCACAACACTCAAACAGAAGGTGGGTGGCAGCATTTTCCCCCAATGCCAGTTCTATTTGTGTGAGGTCTAAAATTGTAAAAACTGGTTATTTCAAATTCAGGATGGAATAGAAAAACTTTAATACCCCAAGAAGTTAGCTTCTGTCGACACAAAAGTGTATTAGACAGTATTTAATTGTCTTTTTTCAATATATTTACCTGTCACTTTTAACTGATCACTTCGAGCAATGGTGCAACAAACCTGAGAGAGAAAACACTGTGTTTCACTTGTAGAGAAAACAGCAGGTCAAACTGAATGGGAAAATCACTCATTTTGTGGGCTGTATACACTGAGGACAAAATCATTATCTTATAATGATCTGAGCTGAATCCAACAAGAGCTAATTGTTGAGTTTTCATCCTTAACAGTAACATGCAGAGATGGACTGCATTAAATCCAAAAAACAAGCAGCCATAGGTGCCCAATAAATGGTCAGGTACATACAGTAACTCAGATATAAGCTCAGATTGTCATGCTCAAACTTTGTTTATTATACAACTTCAAAAAATATGTTACATTTTTTTCCTTTTGGAAAGCAAGGCGAACGTTTTCCTGTTGTTTCTAGTGTTTATGCTAAGCTCAGCTGACTATCGTTGTAAGGATGCCCATGACATGTATGTGACAGATACCAGATGAGGATATCAACATCCCATACATGCATGTCACAGAAATCTGAATAATTGACTGATCACCTGACCGACTTAAAGGGTCATGTCACCTTTGAATTTTGCTGGAATTCCTTCTATTTAGAGAGCGTTAAACAGGACCAGGAGCATCACCATGTACTTATGGAGGCCATTAAACATGTCACTGAGTGTTTTGTTGAAACACAAGTGTTTCTGTTTCTGTTTAACTTATGAGCATCATCTTGGGAAGTTGAAAATGTGCCTCCTTACAGCCCTTCTTATAGATAAATCTTCTATGAAGTGACACATCAAAAATGCATTCAAAAAGCAGCCGTTGCATTTCTTTTCAGCCTGGTGGGCCGCAGAATCATAATTAAGATAGCTATGCTTATCTTCTTATTTGAAAATGCAGATCAGTGAATGTATGCATTTTGAATATCTCTGAATTACACATGCAGATCTTAAGTTTGATACTTTTTAAGCCCTGAGTTTTTCCTTCAGAGAGCGAATTTAACCGAATTATAGGTTTGGGTATCAATGTTGTGTGTGTGTGCGCGCGCGCGCGCGTGTGTGTGTGTGTGTGTGTGTGTGTGTGTGTTTTTACATACATATATTATCTTCCGCTCTAAATGTCGTCCTCTATCCACAAGCTTTTTTTTAACTCCCTCCAACCTCTTCTCTGTTTACCAGCTCACATCTTCTCTGCATTCTTTTATGCGTCCCTCTTTGCATATTGTGCAGCCTCCCACGTGTGTGTATGTGTGTGTGTGTGTGTGTGTGTGTGTGTGTGGATATAAGTGTGAATGCATGGGTGCATTTAATCTCTTGGCAAGCAGTCTAAACCCTATAATTACTGTGACCCTCATCCTCTTCGTTACTCCACTTTAGCACTGATAGAGATGTTGGGGGGAAAAAACGCGCACTAAATATAATTATATATGTGACAGCTAGAACACCCACCAACATGCACACACACACACACACACACACACACAAACTGCTACTACAATAACAATACTGTGTCACTTGCAGTGCTATAGAAACATTATCAAACACCATTGCCCAATAGAACTTCGGTTTGTGTGTAGGCGGTATCATGTATGATGAGTATTTATAACATCTATCAGGACTTTAACTGAATACAAAGACCCAAGCCGAATACTTAACAGACTTCTCAACTTGTATGGAAATCCTCATTGTGATTTTAAATGGGTGTGTTAACATATTCCTGTTTATCTGTGTATGTGTGTGTCCAGAGGCACTCCAAATCCAGGCTGACATGTCAAAGCGTAGAGAAGGAGGAGGACGGTCAGGAGCGGTCCGGGAGGGAGGCTGGAGGACAGTTTAACAGGTGACCTTTGACCTGCTTCATCACAACATTGCCAACCCCTTACAACTGAGAGATTTCATAGTGTCCACTGAGAGTAGGCTATTCAACAGTTCAGTGTAAGACTAGCACTATGCACATTTCTAAAGCCTCTTCAGAATGCATAAATGTTAATGTGTGAGAAAAAATAATAATGACTTTCCAATAACTGCTCTGACAGCAAGAAATGGGACGTATGATAGTTTTTGACTTCTTCCGTTTTATTAAAAATCTTTATTCTATGGGACGGTTTAAATATCCCCAGTTATTATAGAGATATATGTTTTGTGTATCCAATACGTATCAAAAAAGTAACTTAAAACATAGTAAACATAGTTGATCTAATTTTAGTAGAATTAGAGTGCTAATTTATGCTGAGGAATCAGAGCAAGAAGTAGGAAATATTCAAATCAAGTACTTGACAAAAATGTCCTCATGAGCTGCAAGGTAAAATTCCACCTCAATGTCCTTTATTGCAAGCCTCAACTGCAGCAGTTCTGGGAGTTAGATTAACATCATTTCCACATAACATCTCATAATAGTGTCAGAAATAAAAGGGCATCTTATTGCAAATCAATGTGCTTTTCCCTGTTCACACTTTTATAATGACATTGACCTGGATCACCAATAAAGAGGAACACAATCTAATTGAATTTTTTTTCCCTCAGATGCATTTCTCACTATTATTTCTTACATATATTCCTTGTCAGCCTATGTCTCATTTCTCCTCTTTTTAGAGAGTGAGCATTGAGCTAGAATGATAGAAATTCAGTTGTTTTCCTCCCTTAAGTCACTCTCTGTATACAAAGCATTTGTGTGCCTTTGTTCTCCCAGTCTACTGTCTTCCTGGTTGCATATTCATATGGTTGTCTTTGGGAAGTGTCACAGCGCAGACTCCTATAAGCATAATTCTGAGCTATGTGAGTGACTGTTTTTGTGCAAGACTGTGCATGCATGGCTGTGTGATTGTAGATGTATGTGCGCTCTGCCTTATTTTTTCCCTTCAGTTTGCAAGCTGACCTGCTGATGGATTTTCCTCTCTTACCTTCTTTCTTTCATTCAAAAATATTTAAAAGATATACGAGTATGTGTGTTCTTTATTCTCTTTATTCTTTACTCCCCTTGTAAATTCAATGACCTTCTTTGTTTTAGGGGTGGCAGGAAGAGGAAGACGATGAAGCTGAGTCGAGATCTTTCAAATCTGGTGGTGTTCACCAACTCTGTCGCCTCACAGGAGTGTCTGAATGAAGGTAAAACACAAAAGCTTAAAATCGCCAACACACACAAACTAAAAGGCACATGGCGTTCTTTACCCCTGAGACATTTCTTATGCCTAACCCACGTTTCTCTTCAGGTACTCCAGGTGATGTTTTGTCATTCAGCGAGACCAGAGCACAATCCCTGGTCAATCACAAAGCAGAACAGTTCCTCGCTTTTAACCAGAGGCAACTGTCACGGATTTATCCCTCAGCCTACCGCATCGATTCGTCCAATTTCAACCCCCAGTTCTACTGGAATGTGGGCTGCCAGCTGGGTAAGATGGCTGTCTGTCACTCTGAGCTTTTGACCTGCACGACGGTTGTCTTATAATGACAAAAACCAGGTTCCCTGCCCTTAGCCACATAACTGTCACTACAAATTAATTGACATATTTACCACATGTTTGCCTATAGTATAAAGTAGGTGATTTCAGCACAGTTCATTTACACATTACGCCTTGTGTAGGTTGTTTGTGGTGATCTGTGCAGAGGCAAGATGAGTGTCCACAAATAGGGCTACTATACAGCCTTAGCTGACTTTGTGAGGATTACTGATGCACACATGAATGTCTAATTAAACAAAGGAAGCGAAAAAGAGTTGTAACTAATTTTTATATTTCTGTACAGAAAATCAGTTCATCCAACAAAACCCTACCCGCCCCATCTTTTGTCTTTCATGTTCTATACAGTGTAATGCTTCCCTTAAATAACCGTCAAAAAAGGTACAGAAATAAAGAAAATAAGTAAGGAAAAAGGAAAAACACAGGCAATTGCCAATCTCTGTACTTGATTTACTTTGAAGCAGCTCAATATTTTTCGCTGTTTTTTGTTTCCTTGTTCATTTGTTTCCTAATGAAGGTTTCAAAGTTGTGTGGACACACTGGATTGATGAATAAATGAAAGTAAATCAAAAGAGGAACGTTTGATAAATTAGAAAAACAATGATAAATTGGGCAACGAAGCAACCCCTGTATATGTTTTTTGCCTCATACTATTTATCATCCTGCAACACAGTGTATTTATAATACACCACATTTCTGATGTAAAATTATAAAGGTCATATGTGGTTAGCGGTTTTTTAATATCTGGCAATTAAATAACTGTTCCAATGTATTTTTTCTCTTTTAGTTGCTCTGAATTACCAGACAGAGGGCAGGATGATGCAGCTCAACAGATCCAAGTTCATGGTGAATGGAGGTATTGGCTACGTCCTCAAGCCCCCTCCCATGTGTAAAGGTACTGCAACAGACCGAATGCATGCACAAAAACAAATATACGTACATGCATCCGAACTATGTTTTTTTTTCTTATAAATACAAATTGATGATTAAATCGGTGTTTGCTTGTGGTGAGTGGACATGCGGTATCTTAATATTTTTCATAGTTGTACTGGCATGTAGCTTATAATGTTTCTTTTTGAGATGTAATTCTAATTGAGAGCATAGACAACATGATACCCTCTGGTAGATGTGAATTCCAACTACAGCTACACATATCATTGTTGCCTTATCAGTTAGAGAAATGCGTGTATATTTGTGATATCCAACCCGTTGCAAATAAATATACATGGAACATACAGAGCATTTAGAGAGGATTGGATTAAAGGATTGGGTGATGACATAAATCAAGGTTCTTGCTCTGCTGTCTTTCATTCCCTCCAGGCTCATTCAACCCATTCTGTGATGACCCGCTTCCAGCTTACCCCAAGAAGCAACTCATTCTCAAGATCATTAGTGGACAGCAGCTGCCCAAACCACCAGACTCCATGCTGGGGGACCGAGGAGAGGTACCCAAACACTTAACTGTGTGCTCACATTCTCCATCTGTCTTTTCCTCTCCTGCACACACACTGACATGCACTGTCACTCTAAAGCACTCCCAGATTTTTTGATTTCTCAAGTACAACTGTCAAAATTATTATTATTATAATAAGGATTTTTTTTTGCTCTATCTCCTCTGTCAGATTATTGATCCATTTGTTGAAGTGGAGATCATCGGCCTGCCAGTTGATTGCTGCAAAGAACAGACAAGAGTTGTGGATGACAACGGTCAGATACACACAATTCAATTTTGAACCATATCTTTATCTGTGAAGACACTGAACCACTGAAGGAAATTACTTATTATAAATTATTAGCTCAATTTTCTGCTGTCTGGCTTGCAATTGAATGATTTTGGTTAACATTCACACTTAAAAAAGGCCAAAGAGCCAGACATTGAACTCAGAAACTCACCAAGACCTAAAATAAATCATAATAGAATGATTGTTAGACTTCTGTTGCCTATGTGGTAAAATAAAAAGTTGACTACTAAATGTCAGATATGTCAAATTAGTGTTCATAACTTGTTTCTGCTGCCTCCAAGTGGCCAGTGACGATCAGTTATTGCAGATTTAAAAATGACAATATCGATAGATAATTTGAAGAGATTACTGATTTTAGCTTGATGATGATGGTTTGTGGAGTGTTCATGTGCATTTCCCTCTCTTTATAACACATGCATATTTCATGTTTATAACATAAACTAAAGAACAGAGAACTCAGTTGGACCAAAATAAAACTGGATTAAGTTGCTGTGCCAGAGCCACAGATACAGCTTTTTTCAATTTGGTCTGCGGAGCAGTGCCTGGCTCAACGGTGAGATTAATTAAGTAGAGGCATAAAGGAAACAGAACAAAGGGGTAGGATTATGTCACCTTTTACATGTATTTACTGATGAGGGCATGCAGCAGGGGGAGGGGAAAAGTCCCCTTCAGGAAAGGTTATTAAGCACTGGGAGCTCAATAGTATTATCAGATGAGTGTGCCGGGCATTTAACCATGAAATACTTCATTTGACTCATCAAAACTTCCAACTCTCGTTTTCCTGTTTTTTTTTTTGTTTGTTAAATTATTAAGATAGTATTTCTATATTTGCTTCATTGACATATTGATGAAACATTTCAGTTATAATTTACATTTGTTTGAATTTTCTTCAGGTTTTAATCCCGTATGGGAGGAGACTCTGTCATTCACACTTCACATGGCTGAAGTAGCGCTGGTGCGTTTCCTTGTCTGGGACCACGACCCCATTGGAAGGGACTTCATTGGTCAACGGACAGTTGCCTTCAGCAGCTTAATGCCTGGTCTGTAGAGAAATTCTTTTCAGCTTTGTCTACAAAAAACACAAAAACAAAACTTGTGTGTATGTTTCATTAATTTCAGATGATTTCAGATGGGAAATATATATCAGTTAGAATCTTTATGAACTAAATAGACAAACTTGACCTTAAATACATAATATTACTCATAGGTTGGCTGGTGCTTTGGCTCTGGGGCATATTTTTTGTGTCCAGTGAACCATGTTTTGTTTGATTTGTTTAGAATAAGATTTGTTGCTTTTAATGTCCACATCCATCAGAGTTGTATCTTAACTTCTTGTGCAATGTGCAACTGCTACACAATCACTAGTCTGATGAAAGCTTCTATCTTTGTTTGATTCACTCAATCACCCATTCTGTAACTCACATGGTTTTTTCCTGCATTCCTAACAACAGGTTACAGACATGTTTACTTGGAGGGACTGACTGAGGCTTCCATCTTTGTGCATGTGTCAGTGCATGATGTCTATGGGAAGGTAAGTGGTTTATAGCCTGTTATTTGTTCTAGCATTTCCCCAGCAGGTATCTTTTGTTGTTGTCTAAGGGCCTGATTTACTAAGATCCCAATTAAAGAGTACTGTTCGTTTCAACAAATTGCACGTTTGGTTAGTGGGCATTTACTAAGAAAATTTGCGTGAATGACACCAGGTGCAAACTTTGTGGAGGCGACACTATTTAAGTTAGGTTTTTGCGTGTTCTACTGGTTTAAGTCATGGAGAGTTTGGACGGAAAGCAGGAGGACTGCAAGCGCAAAATAGGTATCAGTGGAAGAGGCATTAAACGTACAGTATTTTCGAATTATAGCAGATAAAACTGAATATTACAAAAAGAAAATTTGGCTATAAGAAAACCTCGGCATTTTCTTCCTTCCATCTTTTGAAGATGAATTGTCATACATTGCGCAGAAGGTGCGAGCTGTCTCCTTTGTGGCGCTCAGGCGCGATACTCGGCACATTGTTGCGCACAAGACAGCAGGCCAGTGCTGTGTCTGATTGGATATAAATGCTCTGGCAAGAGGTATCGAAGATGGGGGTACAAGCAGTGGTGAGGTCCCCCCATCCAAGCGCAGCAGCAGCGGGCTGTAGAGGGAGGAGACATGCGCATTATGGAGAGGAGCGCACCGGAGGGGGAGATCTGGGGGACCTGAGAAAAAAACTTGAGAAAAAGGAAATCCCCAGTTTAAAATATAATGTTTGCGAAATGAGGGAAATAGGAAGAAATAAATGTCAATATTGAAATTCTTTAGAATGCAGAGGCTGTGTTCAGTTTTGTTAGCTAAAAATATGTAACAATATAGTTTAATCATGGTGTTTATTTATTTATTTGTTTATTTTGACAGGGACAGTGTGTTTCCTGCTGTCATTCCAAACATATTAAAATGCTTGGGGAATAACGCAATCTGTATGCCTTCTTGGATTGTGTTTATCTCTCCTCCTAACTTCAATAACAGCAGCCTGTTGTGCGTAACACTGGTATCCTGGGTTAGCACGTTCTTTTCAAAGGTGTTAAATACAGACAAAGTCACAATCACCACAAATTTTGTCAGGCTTGGTAAATCGCAATGCGTGTACTAACTTAAGTTCTTTGCATTTTCTCCTCCCAGTATTTTGCATGCTAGGGCAGAAACGCCCCATATTGCATATTCATTAAGGCAAACATACTAAATGGACAATGCGTGTTGTTTTGCTCATATGAAAGACACAATCCTCACTGCGCGCCATTAGTAGATCAGATAGCACATTTTTTGCTGGTGGTATCAAGTTTGCACACGTTTTAAGACACGCAAACCTTTAGCAAATCAGGCCCTAAGACTTAATGATGGAGGTAAACCAAGAAAAGTGTGTCTTCTCAACATATCAAAGCATCCAAGCTGAGCTCCTTCAACCCTCTGTCTTTCTAGTGGAGCCCTCTAGTCCTGAACCCCAGCTTTACCATAATGCACTTTCTAGGATCTAACAAGGTATCCTGTTGGCTCTTTGTGGTGCTGCATGAAAAGCAATGCATGTTGCAAAAGTGCAGTGTGTGTTCTGACGCATCCACAATGAAGTTGTTATGTGTGAAATTAAAGTCATGACTCATAGAGTTTGTTTTGTAAGTCATATTTAATCATAACTATTGTACTCTTCTGCTGTTGTTTAACTTAATCAAAGAAAGAACAATTTCCTATAGAAGCATGTATGCATAATCCTTGAAGACAGATGATTCTAGAAATTTAAGGAGTAAGCATGCCCTCTATGGGTTAAATGTGTAAAAGCATGCTGTTGTTATATGAACTGTATACTAAGCTCAGTATATGGAATATCTGATCATCAAACACAACATAACAACATATCAAACATTAATTAAGCAATTCACCTCTTTCTTCCACTGTCATGTCTGAAAAAGTTTTGTTCCATCTTTATCAGAATATCATTTGGTTTCTCCGCTTTGTTTATAGCCTCTTTTAGCATGCATATTCACTTCCTGTTCTTTTGTTTTGGCCATCAGAGTAATCAGCTGCGAGGTATCCGGGGTTTCTTTAACCGTTCTTCCAAGACCTCTGTGGATGCAAACTCTGATGGCATGCGGAAGCGCTCCATAAGTGATCACCTCCTGCGGCGTACAGCCAGTGCCCCAGCAAAGGGACGCAAGAAGACCAAGATGGCACTTTCAGAGTCAGTGGCTTCGATATCAGACCAAAAGAATGGCACAGGTGCAGAAGAATTAGGAGAGGGCATGTCGGGAAAGGAGGAAGGGGTGGAAAAGCGTCCACAGACCAGAGCCCCCCTCACCCACAGACCTATCTCCATGCCCTTAGACAGGCTTCTTCAAGGGCAGCTATCTCTCTGCTCCCCAGACAAGGAGCAGCAGGGTATGGGTGCAGACACTGTCATCGGTGGGTACCTTTTATTTCATCCTAACAAAAGAAATACATATATCTTGTAATAATGCAAAATACATATCAATTGCTTTGATTTTAAATCTTCATAAAAAGTTTGAATGATTGAGATTAATTTACTAATACTAACACTCGCTAAACCAGAATATTATTGTGGCATTACGAACCATCATAATTGTTATGGTGTCTTCTGTTTTGTTTTCAAGTAATTTAACTAAAACTATGTAACAGAAGTGCTACTTTAGGGGTAAAATGCATAGAAAAAACACATCTGAAAGCAGAATTTGCTTTTCAGATTTGTCTTTTTAGTTTTACTTATCCTGCTTCAGTAATCTAAAACATATAACCATGTGAACCAAAAGACTACAGCCTGCTCACCATGATACCTTAACATGCCTTTTCTGTCCCATCTTCATTTGTTGTGCTTCTCTATAGTAGAGAACTGACTAGGATATTCCCCTCAGGTAATCCAAAATACCTATTGTCTGAAGGTTGCATCGTTCAAAAACATACCAGTATTGCGTTCACCCAGTGTATTCTGTTCCAAAGTGGTCTGAGAAATGTATTTGTGTCATTTGATCCCATTTGACCAAACCAATCCCATTTGACCATCTTTTTCCTAATCTGATGTACGCAAACATGGACTTTACCTTTGTTTTAACCTTCACAGCCTCATTTTCCAGCTTCCCCTTCACAGTTGTACTTGGTGATCCATTTGTCTATGTATTGCTATTGCATTGTATTGGCTGGATTGTTAATTGTTGTCATTTTATTGTTGGTTGGCTTGGTGTTCGACATTAAACGGTAGTAAGCTATCTAATACTTTCTTGACTAATCTTTTTTTTCAATCATCTATTTCAACAGGAGGTTTTCCCTTCAACCGGCCAAGGTCTTCCTCTTTGGACCCTTTCATCGAATCATCCGTCTTTATTGACCCAAGCATGTCTTCCCCTTCAAAGACATACACCAACAGAAATAAAGAATTTGACCCATCAGAGGAGACTTCATATCTGGTTATTGGTGGAGGAGAAGTGAAAAGGGAAGAGGATTATGCCAATTACCAATCGAAAGACAATGGAGTCCAGAAATGCATGATCATCTCCACAGAAACAGAGAAAAACTGTTTCATATCACCTTGCACCAACAGCCATTTGCGATCAGATAAACCAGAAACATCATCAAGCAGCACAACATTCACAGTTGCAGCCTCAGTCTCCTCCTCCTCCTCCTCTGCCCTATCCTCAGTAGCCCCGTTGTCCCCAGTCTGTTTTAATTGTGATCTGAGGAGTCCCAGCTCTTTGCATGAGAGCACTATCTCAAGGCTCATTGATGAAGTGTCCTTAGGCAATGAGCAAGACACAGGTGGCTCTATATCTGCTCTGATTGGTGAGTTTGAAAGCACAGTTGACCAAAACGAACTCACAACTTCAACTCATGTTCCTTTCCCTTTGCCAGATGATTTAAAATCTCCTCTGAAGACCAACACTGCATCTCCAACAAAGAAACAATTAATAAGTCCCCGGAAAGTGGCTAAAAAAATGAATCATGCAACTTGTGAGACCAATTCACCCCACAAGATTTCTCTGGCAGAGGCACCTGCATCAACCCTGTTTTCCAGCCCAGAAACATCTGAGATTGAGGAGGTATACACCATACTGGATGAAGAGGTGCTTTTGCCAGTATCAGTCTACAACCTGAGGAAACAGACAGTCCATGTTCAGGCAGACACTGTAGATAACACACCCTCAAGCAGCTTGGGGTCCTCTCCAGCAAAGGTGATTAAGGGTTCAGGGAAAGGACACAATGTCAACGTGGGCTGGGATGATATCCACAGGAGGAGGGACCAATGTGAAGAAATTGAGGAGAGTATTTATGAGGAGGTTTATGATCTCCCAGCACCAAAAACAGAAATGAAGCAAGACAATTCTAAAAGGTACACAAACTCTTCTGGTAACCAGTTTAATTATCGCCCAGCTGGAAATTATTTGAATGAAGTGGAGATAAATGTTGATGAAGATCCATTGGATAAGATGCTGACCTCACCAAGACATGGCAGCCAATGGGAGGGGTGTATAAGTCCAACAAAACACCATGCTATTTACCAAAATCATGAGTCCACTCCTAACTACTCCCAACAACAACAGCATTCATTATACCATGATCCTAAAAAACAATACCCATTGCAAGTATCTAGTGCATCATTCTCACCATGTCCCTCCCCAATGCATCAACCATCCTATCACCAGTCCAATAACCAACAACAACAGAGCAACTCCCATCCTTCTCCCTTCCACAAACATGTCCACTCAAGACCCTCAAAACCTAGTTCCCTGCATAAGAACAGCTACCCTGTTCCTCATAGCAATTCCGAGGTGGGCAACAACAGCAGAGACTTCAACAGTTCTTACAGACAACACAATTGCTATAGTAGCAGCCAAATCCTAAGCAAGTCGTTTCAAGACAGGCTTGGGTATAAACAGATGGAGAGGGAGCAAGAAAAAAGGTGCTTCCACAATGGTTTGTCCTCTTCTGACAGTCCCCCTGTCCAATCTGCTGTAAATATCTGTATGGACAGAGGCCTATACTCCCCTTCTACAGACAGTGAAGCAGTGTACAGTTTACCAGACTATGATTGCTTTACTCCCCCGTCAGAGCCTTCAGCTCCTCAAAACACACAACCACACTGCCAAAGTCCAACCGGATCATACACCCCAAAGCAGTCATGGAATCAAAATACTTCCTTGACCAATAGTAGGCACCAGACACAGCTTGAATCCAGAGTTTCCCTGAATTCTAATTTAGGCCCATTGTCAACAAAACCCAAGTCTAGCACCATAGAGTCAACAGGCCCCAGTCCATGTAAGTCCAAGTCCCTGGGAGACCTGACTTCTGAAGACATATCATGCAACTTCCAGGGCAAATACCACATTATTAGTCGCAGTTTCATAACTCCCCAAATGAGGAAGCAAAAACGGTTTGGCACCATGGGGGAAGTACATTTCCAGTCCCAGTCTTGTGATCCCCTCACAGAACAGCTACGTAAACTGGTCAGTCTGGAGGGGGATGATAGTGACAGAGAAAGACCTCAGACGCCTCAACTGTGCCTGGGCACTAAACTTGCATCGTCACAGCCTCAGGCAACAAGTACAGCTCCAGTCTTACCCAAAAATGTAGATGATTCCCCTCCACTCCTTACCCGCCGCCTCTCCTCTCGGAGCCAAAGCAGAGTGCGTCACATCAACAGTCGTGCCCGTGAAAGACAGCAAGAGGCTCTAAAGCCTCGGGCAGGTGCCTTGATCAATAGCACCACCAGCATGGGTGGGGTGGTATTGAGGAACAAACCAGCCTCACAGAATCCACCAGTTAACAGACACTCTACTGGTTCTTACATAGCAGGCTACCTTGGTCAGCTGGAGGACAGGGGACTTCCTGAAGGGGCTTGTACATCATTACATTATGGAAAAGGGGATCACTATGGAGATCACTACTATACTGATGACTCTCTTCCAGCTGCTGACTCCAACAGATCTGTGTCGGAGCCTGAAGTCTACTTTCTGCTCAGACTCTAGCTATGTCCATAACCTATTATAATATAAATGAACAAGCAGGCAATCCTGCTGATGTTCCTAAACACCAAAAGCGAGATCAGAAAAGAAACACTTCTCATATTCACAGACCATTAGGTCTCCATAATATTTGGCTTTTAATAGAGAAGGACATAGTCCACAAAATGTTGGTGAATCTTCAAACTAATTCCATGGTTGAATCTGACAGCATGAATTTCCTGTATGAAATGTGCACTATTCAATAGTGAATGGTCTTTTTAGTCTGGAAATGTATTGTGTATATTCTGCTAAATGTGTAAATGTACCTTGGAACGTTGATTCCCTCCTACTGGCTTCATAGACTGATTGTACAGATTCTTGTTATCTTTGTCCGATTGATGTCTTGTCCAAACTGCAAACATTGACTATGAAGCAAATATGAATAATTGGGCTTTAAGCAAAGAGGGAATGTTTTTCTTTGTAGCATTTGAATGTGCAGTGTAACGAAACAGCCACTTCTAACAGATTTGATTAATCTTTAAAGATCAAATGAAAGTCTTCCTGCTCTTTTCAGTGTTAATTATTTTATTTGTGTAACATGTACATATATTTGTCTCTCTTCTTGATCTGAGATTGGCTCTTAGTTGAGAACCAGTTCCAACTGTACATAAATATTTGTGCATGTTACCTGTGAACATGTCAGGCATGACTATGCACCAATTTTTACAATGGATGTTGCATTGCCCAAAAACATTTGCACAGAACAAATAGTTGCATTGGATACAACGGGGGAGAAATAATTGTTTGTATTGAGTGCATTACAATACACAAACTTCCATGCTAGGACAAGTTACTCAATATGATCTGTAGACTAAACATTATTGCAAATTTTAAAGATTTTTAGTTTAATGGTTTTTATTTTTATAATTGCTTTGATACAGACAGCAAAAATAATCCAAAATGTTTTGTTGGTCATGGTTATTTTATTTTGTATAACTTAATAGAATAAAAGGTAAACTTTGACAACTATAGAGGGTGAAGCTAAGGAAGGCAGGGTGGCAAAGGACCTTTTTTTTCTTCAGTGTTCCTTTTTTAAATGTATTGTTGTCTATGACTGTGAGCATTTTCCTACCAATGCAATAAAAAAAATGAAAATTTGATTTAAACAAAATCATTGGTTTTCAATTATTCATAGTAACATGATTATTTAAGCCGGTCAAGCACAAAATAGTTCAGTTAGGTAGGTTGTTGTCCTGTAGCAAATGTTGTCTACTGGTCTTCACTGCCTCCATAGTTGGGATGTAAAACCACATTCTGATGAAACCACAGATTTATAAGCTGTGCGGCTACTCTAACTGGGCCTTTTTCAATACTGCTAAGAATCACAGATCCAATGGAGGAGAAGAGAACAACAGAAACATTATTGTGATTCCATACTTGTCTGGAGAATCCATAAAACTCAATATTCTAGTACATTTTAAACAATAAGACATTCTCAGACATAAGTGTGTCCACCCAAAACAAACCCAGGCATAAATAGGCAATGGTGTTGACAGTAATATTGGCTGCTCTGGCAGGGAAAGGAAAGATGGCCAGGGAAGACGGATTGTTAAAGAGAGATGTTAAAGAAGCTATCTATATAAAGCTTGAACAGCCCTTTCAACTCGGGGGGTGGGGCTGTCATCCGTTAGTTAGTTCTTGTGTTTCTAAGTTTTGTTATTAATTTTAAATTTCGTAAATTTCAGAAATTTTCAATGAATGTTTTAAGATGTTTTAAATTGATATTTTTTGAAACATCCAAGAATTTTCAGGAAAAATCTATGGAAATTCTCAGATATTTTCCATTTTTTGTACACTTATGGAAATGCTCAGGACAAGGAACTTAACTTTTAAGGGACAATTTGGAGTCTTCAGTTTTTTTTTATTTCAGAAACATTTAATGGTAATTTTTTCGGAAACCTACAATAATTTCCAAAATGTTCAATGGTAATTTTCTTGTACATTTTCATTGGAAGTTTTGGGAAACTTTTGATCATTTTAAAGGGAAATTTTAAGAAATTCAGCATGAGTTTTTGGGATTTTTTAATGGACATAATGGCGACATTTTTTTAATCTATCTATCTATCTATCTATCTATCTATCTATCTATCTATACATACATACATACATACATACATACATACATACATACATATATATATATATATATATATATGAATTCTCTGAAGAGGAATGTTGTGGTTGTTTGGAGTCCAAAATTATTCCTGATTTAAAAAAAAAAGTAAAATATAAGAAAATTGTTTTTTTTAAGGCGGATGAAAATTCTGCTAACAGATTGCTTTATAATTTCTAGTAGATTCACAGATATTTCCACATGAAGAACATACTATATTTTAATTTTAAAAAATGTACATCAAACACTTCTTTTTAAGTATCCTGAAATTACTCAAACTTACTTACACTTAGCTAAAAGTTTTGAGGAGATCCAAAACATAATTGGCAATGGACAGAGATAATGCCATTAATATGCTTTTTCACTCAAAATTTTCAAGGAATTAAAAATAGGCTACATTGAAAAGTTTTTGGGTAGCTACAAGCTGCGTGTTATTTGAACATGTTCAAGCAGATTTATTTACAGTTTAGGGTGTCTGGAGGCTTTTCCCTATTGCATCATATCTGCTAATCACTTGTTAGCAGTGTTTTTTCCCCACCATCACTCTTGAGAGGAATCCTCCTTTGTGGTGTGCTGCTTGTGTCATAGTTTACTTACTTGCAAGAGGCTTTGTACATATTATAAATATGCTCATCAAGACATCCCTAGTTTAGATTTGGAGAGGGGGTATGTTAAAGTCGGGATCAAAATTTAAGTTGGCTATTAATCTTTTGATATTTTAGACAAGTAAAACATGCTTTTGTATGTAGTGTCCTTTCTCTGTGTGGGAAACTGAAATTTAACTGATATGACAGTGAAGTAAAATTGGATCTATGACATTTCTTGCCATTTAAAAAACCCTAAAATGCGTTATATCTTTATTTTTGATGAACCATGTTGGATGTTAGTACTTTTGCATTCACTGATTGTTTGAGTCACTAATTGCACTTCAGGTTTATGCAAATTTTGACATTGGTTAAAAATCTTTGAATGTGTTTGATGTCCAGATTTTTTTGTTTTTCCAGCCTTCTTCTTCTCAGTGCAGTGGGCCAACAGACAGGACCGAATGTGGTTCAGGCCACGGTATGCTCCCACTGGGGTGCACCGACTGATAAGAGTCTAATCCAGGATGGAGATGTGATTATCGGTGGACTTTTTAACCTGTATCACATACCTTCAACTGTAGATGAGGACTACACAAAGAAACCACACTATGAACCTTGTACTGGGTGAGCTTAATAACTACATATAGTTTTGTTAAATGTTTGGCGGGTAATTGAGTATTCATTATGTGACTGCACATTGTATTTTTTACATTGTTTCCAGGAGTCTTGTTTTAGTCTGCAGACAAATTTAATTCTGCAGATCCAGGCAATGTTTGTGATACTTAAACAGTTTTATCACCTGTTACAATAGTTGATGAACTCACTTTAATTATTTTACAATTACTTCAATAGATTTTGCCCTAGTTGATTCATGTTGCTTGTTCATGTTTTTAGACAGCATTGTGTCCTGATTGTTATTGAAGTTAATACATTCTGCTCTCCTCTCTCTCTTATGGTCTCAGCTTAGAACTGGAGCCGTTAAAATACTCTTATGCCATGGTGTTTGCTGTGGAGGAAATCAATCGAAACAACACCCTGCTACCAGGAGTGAAGCTGGGTTACCGTATACTTGATAGCTGTTTCCTGTACCCGTGGGCTCTGCAAGGTGCAATGTCATTGGTTGGAGGAGACACACACAGCTGTAACTTGACAGCCTTTGCAGGTCCTATTGAATCTAATGAACAACCTGTAGTGAGAGCAGGTACGTGATATCATTTAGTATTCAGTTGAAATATCTTACCTCCACAAAACCAAAACATGATTAAATGTGGTAAAATATGCTTCCCTATGTAATCATGAGCCCAAATGCATTAAGGTGGTCTGCCTGTACCGATGATCATTGGTGCTGCATCCTCTACAACAAGCATAATGATGTCCAGCACCCTGGGGCCTCTCTATGTACCAGTTGTAAGTTTCATTACCTCAAAAATAAACCTCTTCATAATCCTATATTTACACAATCTCCATAAAGATTCTGATAGAAAAATAAAATAGAATCTTTCTTGGTGTCTTTCGTTTAGATCAGCTACCTGTCAAGCTGCCCCTGCCTTAGTGACAGGCTTAAATATCCTAATTTCTTCAGAACAATTCCCAGTGATGTTTACCAAGCTTGGGCCATGGCACAATTGGCCATTCGCTTCCACTGGACATGGATAGGAGCAGTGGTGGCAAACAATGATTATGGTCAGCTTGCAATACAGGTGCACAGCATGTCTTTGTGTTATTTTACTATGCATTGCTATAAATACTCTCTCATGTATCTCATTTAAAGCACAGTTGGCATACACAGTATGTAAAAACATATTTGGAATATTTATATTTCAGGTATTCCAGAAAGAGATTTTTGGGAAAGGAGTGTGTTTGGAATTCATTGAGACCCTCAAGACAGAAACTATTGTGACTGATGCAAAACGTGCAGCACTCACAATTCAAGCTTCGACTGCGAGGGTGATTCTGATCTTCTGCTGGTATACTGAAGTAAAGAAACTGCTTCTGGAACTGGCCAAGAGAAATGTGGGCAGACAGCATGGAAATGTGTTTTTTGAAAAGGTTTATTTTAAAAACAAAGATATATATATACATATATATATATATATATATATATTATAAAAATAATGTCATTCGTAGGTGACTGACAGACAGTTCCTGGCAAGTGAGGCTTGGAGTACCAGTGATGATCTTCTCCAAGATCAAACCATCTCTAAAGTAACAAATGGTGTTCTTGGTGTGGCCATTCGTAGTTCAACTATACCTGGATTTGAAAATTATCTCAGAAGTTTGCATCCAATTCGTCGTCCTAATGATGTTTTCTTAAGAGAATTCTGGCAAAAGGAATTTGGATGCAGTCCTCTTTCTTCCTATTTCTCTTCATCCCTCATTCCAAGGTCTGAGTACCTCACAAATGTTTCTGCTTCCTCAACTGATAACGTTCCTCCTCAGAAAATTTCACCACCACTCTGCAGTGGAACAGAGTCCCTGGAGAACGTGGAAAATCACTTTACTGATACCTCTCAGCTAAGGGTGGCATATAATGTCTACCTTGCCGTTTATGCTGCTGCCCATGCCCTTCATAGCCTTCTCTCCTGTAATACCCATACATGCACCTTTCAGAAAAACATCAAACACATAGAGGTGAAAACTTCTATCAATGTACCATCTTCTAATTCACCTTATAATTCACAACGTTTTTAACCGTTTCTTCAACACTTGATATTTTCAGCTGTTACAGCAATTGAACAAAGTGAACATCACCACACCACATGGGGAAAGGTTTTACTTCCAAGGTGCTGACATTGCAGCAATGTATGACCTCGTTAACTGGCAGAAACAACCAGAGGGGCAACTCAAACTTGTCTTGGTTGGTCGTGTGGATGGGTTTAACCTCCATCTTAATGAGTCAGCTGTGCAGTGGAGCTCAGGATCCAGTCAGGTTGTTACGAAGCAACAAGTGGTCTAAAGTTTACTTCCAAATTTTCTGTTGAAATGAATCTAATAGTCAGTTTCTAGATTTGTACCAATGAGAATATATATATTTTTAAATTAAAGTTTTTTGTCAAGGTTCCTTTTTCAGTGTGCAGTGAGAGCTGCCCTCCAGGTACCCGAAAGGCCAACAGGAAAGGAGAGCCTCTCTGCTGCTTTGACTGTATCCCATGCACTGAGGGGGAAATAAGCAATGAAACTGGTGAGGAAATCTGCCCTAAATTTGACACAAACTTGTGTTGTAAACTTTCTTTGATTCTTTGTGTTTCATTAGCTTTTTTTTCTTCCAGGTTCTCTAAAATTGTCAGCGATGTCCATCTGAGTTCTGGTCCAATGTTATGCAAACTGCCTGCGTCCCTCGTCAGTTGGACTTCCTTTCCTTTAACGAAACATTGGGCATCACTCTGACAACAGTGGCTGCATCCGGTGTTGTGGTGACAACAGCTGTGTTTGTTCTATTTTTTTGCAACCGCCAAACACCCATGGTAAGATCACAGTTTCATGTAATGGAGAATACTTTGTATTTTCAACATCCTTAGTTGTTACAAATACATCTCAACTCTTTTTAGGTACGAGCCAACAATTCAGAACTCAGCTTCCTGCTTCTTCTGTCCCTGAAGCTCTGCTTCCTGTGCTCACTGGTGTTCATTGGTCGTCCATCAGTCTGGTCCTGTCGGTTTCAGCAGGCAGCCTTTGGGATCAGCTTTGTACTTTGTGTTTCCTGCCTTCTGGTTAAAACCCTCGTAGTGCTTGCTGTTTTCCGCTCAGCTCGGCCTGGTGCTGAAACCTTGATGAAGTGGTTTGGTCCTGTTCAACAGAGAGGGAGTGTCTTTCTCTTCACCTGTATACAGGTGTGGTTTGGTAGCATTTTCTTAATTAAATGAATATAACAATTTAATTAATATGCATTAGTAATTACTTACTTTTTAAGTATATATGTATAACACTGAAATGTGTTTCCTTTCTTTCAGGTTATTATCTGTGCCACATGGTTGTCCATCAGTCCTCCAGCGCCTCGACGTGATCTGGGTTTCCAAGGATCAAAGGTCACACTAGAGTGTGCCATGGATTCTCTGGTGGGCTTCTCTCTGGTTCTTGGCTACATTGGCCTGCTGGCCTGCACCTGCCTCCTCTTGGCTTTTCTTGCTCGGAATCTTCCTGACAACTTCAATGAGGCCAAACTGATCACCTTCAGCATGCTGATATTCTGTGCAGTATGGGTAGCTTTTGTTCCTGCTTATGTTAGCTCTCCTGGAAAATATGTTGTGGCTGTAGAAGTCTTTGCCATCTTGGCCTCCAGCTATGGTTTACTGCTTTGCATATTTGCCCCCAAATGTTTCATTATTCTTTTGAGGCCAGAGAAAAACACAAAGAAACAGCTAATGGCCAGATAATTGATCTGTTTAAATGTAAACATAGACCCTGAATTGGAAGTTAGATGTTTCTCTGTGGGGAGAGCCCATTGGTCTTCCAATCCTAGGGTAATGTCCTGATTCCAAGAACAGATCAGACAGAAATATATAATTAGTAACAAACTGAATAGAATGCAATAATAGTTAGTAATCAACCCGTGCATGTTCAGTCAAAATTTAAGTGATTTCCTCTCTTTAAGTTTTCTAGATTTAACTGGTGAGTCCGGATTTTTCTGTTACTGTTTGCTGTAATATTTTTTGTGTTCAAGTCTTAGATTTGATTAAATCTTATACCATTGGCAATGTTTTATTTCAGAAATAAATGTATGTTGCAGGGCATCCCCCAATTGTCACTGTTTACTTGTTTAATTAAATAGATTTGATAATTTAACATTATATACTGATTTTGTTGAATCCCATCATTGTAAACATAACAAGAAACACCCATTTGTTTCACAGCATTTACTGTCACATGTTCCTATTTACACAATTACACTAAATATAATTGCTCTTAGAAAAAGTTTTCTTCTGAATTGTTTCAATAATTAAGCATAACATTAAAATCACATCAATGACAGATTACTTTAACTACTGCTTGTTTATATACCTCGTTAGATCATAAATAATATAGGCCTACTGATGTTAGTTTGAGATATGTTAATATTATTTAACCCAAGACTGTCATGTCCAATTTCATTTCTTGTGATACACTGATTAAAATGTACATTGACATAGGCAGCTTCCTTTATCAGAGGAGGGATTCTACACAGTGACTGATTCCAGATATGTAATAGATAATAGAAAATTTACTGGATCAATAGAAACTTCTTTGGGATTTTACATTTTATAGCCTCTTTACTGTTCTTCATTGTGAATTGCATACAATGGCTAAAATAGTATATAACAGTATATCTTTAAAGGGGCTTGGTTCAAGATCAAAGCCATATGCTGATGACATATATTGCTCTATGCTAACCTCTGCTCCCTGAATCAATTCCAACACGTCCAGCACTTTCTGCCTGGCAGATTGGAAGTGTGCTGATGACCAACTTTATTTTCTGTCTGTAGGGATCGGACCTCATCCTGCAGGGTTTGAACTGTTCTCCAGGCTTTTGTTCTTTTCCTGCAGAGTTCCTTTTTTCTACTTGCAGCTGGCTTAGCTGCAGAAAGGACATATGTTAGGACATATGTTAAGCAAGTAGGAGGAGCTTCCCAACAACATCCAGGATCATGCTTTGGGTTTCCTAGTTTGATAGTTGATATGATCAACTAGCTCCTTTAATTTTATTAATCACAAATCCTAATTGAATAGCTATTGAGGTTGTTAATCTCATCTAAGGATAGATGGATCACACCAGCAACTGTTTCTTGCAGTGCTGCATGGTCTTTTTCAAAGGTAGTCTCAGCTTCTGGCTCACCTCGGGTCTTGGCACAAATTGTACCTGGTGAAATGGAACCCCAGTGGCTCATAATGGCTTTTAGTGAAGCTGCTTCGCTAAAAAAAATCTAAAATCCACAGGAGAGCAAATCTGGTCTAAGTTTTAAACTTGTCACTGCACTCTATCCTGGAAACACCTCAAGACCTCTGATGATTTGGGAAACTCACACCTCTCAGACAGCTGGCTACTCTGTGCATTGGTTACTATCTCAACTGTACAAATGGCTAAATTGATGTCTTAAACAACAAAAGGACAACACAAAGTAATTATACTACCCAACTCACCAACAACACACAACACAAACTAAACCACAACGTAATGTATACTTTGCTTGAAAGTACATTCTCAAAAATAAATAAATAAGTACTTAACCTAGCACAAACAATGCGATGAGGCTGGTTTATAGCGGGCCTCATGCGGGGCACCAATTATGTTGGGGTATTATGAAGTAATTTTGGCCATAATTTAATTATTAATATGAATAATGAGAATTAATTCATTATTAATATAAATTAATAAAATTATGATTTTCAATTAACAACAATGGGGCACCCTCCTGGAATCAGGGAATAACAGCCAGATAACACAAATCATACTTAATTGTAATTAGTTAAATATCTACATTATTAATATTTAACAAGTATCCTTATTCAAATAAATGGAAGGCATGAATCCGTATACTAGCCCTTGCACCCATCTGTTATCACAGTGCACATACACCAGTAATCAAAGACAACTGCCTTTTAAATATAAATTATAATATAATTTATTTAACAAGGCAACATCAACTGCAATCAATGAAACTCAATTAAAAAAATAACTATTATAAACTAAACTACAGCAAAAAAATATATCTATAAACAAATGAACATACGTGGCATACGTGCTTGTGTGTGTGTGAGAGAGAGAGAGAGAGAAAATTGGGGGAAGAAGAGAGACAGATAGAGAGAGAGGGAGCCATGTGGCGTGGCCTGTAGCAGCTTGAACTCTCTGTGATCAGTTCAGTGACTATAATTTAAACACCAGAAAGGCAATGGTCGAACTTTGATTTGCCCGCAGGTACAGTGGTCTTTCTGATTTTGAAGGCAGTTTACTGATAGTGAGCTGAGACAGCAGATTGAATAAACACACAGGTGAACATGATGGTTCAGCAACAATAAAACAAATGCAGCAGCTTACAACAGATGATAAAGCACAATTATCAATTGTTATTGAAGAAACATTTCCTTAAGCTATTTTTGCCAAGAAAAAAGCCTCTTACTTGGGATCACTCTCCTGGTGATTGATACAAAGTTTAATCTGCTGTTCAATTTGTTGAAGGTTGATCAACCAATTTTAACAGGTTCCAGGTTCCCCCACACTTTACACCTTAGGTGTGAGTTGCTACAGGGGATGTGGGGAATCATTGTTTTTGCATGTCCTTTTTTGTTTCCCTCCTAATGTACTCAATTCAGGCATCTTTATGCTCACGGGCCTGGGTCTGTCCAACTCATGGCTGGTCTCAACAGGTGCGAGCCAATGATTCAGAACATGTGAATGTTCTGAATTATTTATAAGTATCCTGAAATTACTCGAACTTACCAACACTTAGCTAAAAGTTTTGAGGAGATCCAAATCATAATTGGCAATGGACAGAGATAATGCCATTAATATGCTTTTTAACTCAAAATGTTCAAGGAATTAAAAAATAGGCTAGATTGAAAGGTTTTTGGGTAGCTACAAGCTGCGTGTTATCTGAACATGTTCAAGCAGATTTATTTACAGTTTAAGCTGCCTGGAGGCTTTTCCCTACTGCATCATATCAGGTAATCACTTGTTAGCAGTGTTCCCCCCACCCCCACTATCACTCTCGAGAGGAATCCTCCTTTGTGGTGTGCTGCTTGTGTCATAGTTTACTTACTTGCAAGAGGCTTTGTGCATATTATAAATATGCACATCAAGACATCCCTAGTTTAGATTTGGAGGGGGGGTAAAAGTTGGGATCAAAATTTAAGTTGGCTATTAATCTTTTGATACAAGCTTTTAGACAAGTAAAACATGCTTTTGTATGTAGTGTCCTTTCTCTGTGCAGGAAACTGAAATTAAGCTGATATGACAGTGAAGTAAAATTGGATCTATGATATTTCTTGCCATTTAAAAAACCCTAAAATGCACTATATCTTTATTTTTGATGAACCATGTTGGCTGTTAGTACTTTTGCATTCATTGATTGTTTGATTCACTAATTGCACTTCCAGTTTATGCATATTTTGACATTGGTTAAAAATCTTTGAATGTGTTTGATTTCCAGCCTTCTTCTTCTCAGTGCAGTGGGCCAACAGACAGGACTGAATGTGGTTCAGGCCACAGTATGCTCCCACTGGGGTGCACCGACTGATAAGAGTCTAATGCAGGATGGAGATGTGATTATCGGTGGACTTTTTAACCTGTATCACATACCTTCAACTAAAGATGAGGATTACACAAAGAAACCACATTATGAACCTTGTACTGGGTGAGCTTAATAACTACATATAGTTTTGTTAAATGTTTGGCGGGTTATTGAGTATTCATTATGTGACTGCACATTGTATTTTTAAATTTTTTCCTAAAGTCTTATTTTAGTCTGCAGACATATTTAATTCTGCAGATCCAGGAATTAATGCAATGTTTGTGATACTTTAAATGTTTTATCACCTGTTACAATAGTTGAAGAGCTCACTTTAATTATTTTACAATTACTTTAATAGATTTTACCCTAGTTAATTCATGTTGCTTGTTCATGTTTTTAGACAGCCTTGTGTCCTGATTGTTGTTGAAGTTAATACATTCTGCTCTCCTCTCTCTCTTATGGTCTCAGCTTAGAACTGGAGCCGTTAAAATACTCTTATGCCATGGTGTTTGCTGTGGAGGAAATCAATCGAAACAACACCCTTCTACCAGGAGTGAAGCTGGGTTACCGTATACTTGATAGCTGTTTCCTGTACCCGTGGGCTCTGCAAGGTGCAATGTCATTGGTTGGGGGAGACACACACAGCTGTAACTTGACAGCCTTTGCAGGTCCTATTGAATCTAATGAACAACCTGTAGTGAGAGCAGGTACGTGATATCATTTAGTATTCAGTTGAAATATCTTACCTCCACAAAACCAAAAGATGATTAAATGTGGTAAAAAATGCTTCCCTATGTAATCATGAGCCCAAATGCATTAAGGTGGTCTGCCTGTACCGATGATCATTGGTGCTGCATCCTCTACAACAAGCATAATGATGTCCAGCACCCTGGGGCCTCTCTATGTACCAGTTGTAAGTTTCATTACTTCAAAAATAAACCTCTTCATGATCCCATATTTACACAATCTCCATAAAGATTCTGATAGAAAAATAAAATAGAATCTTTCTTGTAAAAAGAAAAAATCAACATTTGTGTGTCTTTCATTTAGATCAGCTACCTGGCAAGCTGCCCCTGCCTTAGTGACAGGCTTAAATATCCTAATTTCTTCAGAACAATTCCCAGTGATGTTTACCAAGCTTGGGCCATGGCACAATTGGCCATTCGCTTCCACTGGACATGGATAGGAGCAGTGGTGGCAAACAATGATTATGGTCAGCTTGCAATACAGGTGCCCAGTATGTCTTTGTGTTATTTTACTATGCATTGCTATAAATACTCTCTCATGTATCTCATTTAAAGCACAGTTGGCATACACAGTATGTAAAAACATATTTGGAATATTTATATTTCAGGTATTCCAGAAAGAGATTTTTGGGAAAGGAGTGTGTTTGGAATTCATTGAGACCATCAAGAGAGAAACTATTGTGACTGATGCAAAACGTGCAGCACTCACAATTCAAGCTTCGACTGCGAGGGTGATTCTGATCTTCTGCTGGTATA